ACTAACAGTAACAGAGGATTGCGATTACACAGATCTGTGTAAAAAATATATGTGGCACATAGAATTCACTGTGTTGTCTATTGTTGATCAGACAATATGCTACATACATGTAAACATGAAATGTCAGGTAAAGGTAGATCAGCTGATGGATGACCTAATTAAAGAAATTATTTCCAGAACTAACTCGTTGGTCTTAGATACTACTCTCCATTTCCATCTCTCTATCCCAAATTTATTTTACTATTTTTTTTTGGGGGGGGGGGGGGGGGTCCATGAGTATATTTTTGGGGTTTTTTTTTTTAACCCTTGTAAGATTCTTAATAAATAAATATATATAGATACTGTTTTTGACTTACCTATGTATTTGGGGAAAGGTAAATAGCTGGTGTATTTAAGCCCTATTAAGTAGAGAATTGAGCTAAGATTATAGGTGAGATATTTTCTATAGTTGGGTTTATTGTAACTAGTGTTTAACAGAACCAAGTCCTGAAGTATTGTGATTGTGTGGTTTAGGGGGTTGTAAATAGAATTCTCATTACTCCATCTTTACATCACTGCTTAGGCATGTAATCCAAATTTACATTATCGTGAATTTGAAGTACTCTGTAACCAAAGAAACAGGAAGTTCAACATCTTTGTGTTTTCATGATTAGGGTGTGAATCTATTTCACATTCATTAATAAAAGAATCAAATATGATTTTTATCATGTTTATGACAGCTCTTCACAGAAATCATGGGAAACTTGCAAATATTTTTTTCCAGATTGTTGAAAGTTTGAATATATAATAAAAGTTTTTTTTTTTTCAGTTTCAGCCATTAAATGTTTCCTCGAACCCCCAAGATAACAGTAACCTCAGTGTGGGGTCAAATGCTGGGGACGATGAGGTAAGAGAACCAATTGATTCTGTAAACTGGTCATGGTTAATAAAAATCAAATTAAAGCTGAAATCTAAGAAGAGAAACACTCCCCTGTTAAACCATTAACATGTCTAACATCTTAATATATATACACTATCTACTGCTTCATTTAAAAATAGCTGACTCAATCTATTTACTCTTTAAGCATGTTAAGAAACAATGTTTAAAAATAATGTTGAGGAAAAAAAAGTACTTGAAAAAATTATTGTTTTATAATATTGGAATTGCCAGATTTTATGACCTAGCTATTCATTCTGTCTAAATTTAGTTCATGTTATTGAGTGCATTTTAAAAGAATTTTAAGCATGCTGTCTAATTATGAAATAATTTTGTTAATTAGGCACACTTGGTATTAACGCCTGAGAAGCAACCGAGAACTCCGTCAGAGAGAAAACGAAAGAGAAAGGCAACAGCTAGTGATAGTACTGAGAGTAGTAAGTATATATAAAGAAGGGGGGGGGGGGGGGCAGGTGCTCTCAGTCCACTACAAGCTCTAACAAAAATCAGGACCAGGCCAGGTATTCTCGTGCTGGCCTACCTAAGGTTATTAACAGTTAGGCCCGGCCAGGTATTCCATTGGATTGAGTTTGCAGGATTTGCTGTTTATGAGAAATTTTATATGCATCATTTTTAGCATTGGAAAGAAGATTATTCAAGCATCTACTTCTATGAAGATATAAACTAAGACCCCCTTGCTATACTCTTGGAAATGAAGACACAATTAGTAATATTGTTCATACCTCTCTATCACACTCTCTGAGCGAAAAGCACAGGTCAAAATTATAGGGACTTTTGAAATGTATCAGTAATTAAAGGTATGCCCTGTCATTGGTACCTAGAATATCATTCTCATGGGAATGGGGGGGGGGGGGTCTGAAAAAGAACTAAAGAGAAGCATTGGACATGAAGCAGAATATACAGGTTAGATATACATGGCATCCCCATGTTACATGTATGTGGGAGGAATTAGCTTTACTTCCTTTTATAAATTTATTCTTCTACACTTTCAAGTTTTATCAATTTTTTTCACTCAAAATGAATTGATTTTTGTTTGTTCATCAAGTAGAATTGGTATTTATGACCATTTTAAAACTTTACATAATACACATAACTGTAAGAATGTCAGCAAACTGTACACAGTACATTGCAAAACATGAACTGGCATCCAAGGTCTTTCAGAAAATAAATCATTGAATTTGTCTCATCTGCAGAAATTTACAGAGCAGCTGCCCAATTATAAACAAAAACATAACTGTCATCACTGCACATTTTCTGGCTGGGAAGCTTTTTTTTTACATTGAATTATTATGGAGAAGGAAAGATCAATACAACATGCTGTTACATGTATTTTCTATCATTAGAGGTTACATATTCGGAATAAAAATAGTTGTATTATGAGTGACATCTTTTATCATCACAAAAATACTGTACATATATATATATATATATATATCTTTCTTTGTATACCTAGATATTATAGCCCTCTGGACAACATGTAATGAATTACTGAAATACAGATATGTACATGTCAGTCACATATTAAAGCATTGACGTCACTGAATGAAGTCCTGACAAAATTGGGGAGGGGGGGGGTGGCTTCCAGTGCTGTGCATTTTTTTTCAAATTAAGGGATATAGATATAAGAAATCCTGCGATTTAATTCTGTAGCCCTCTTGTTTTTCTGTAATTTGTAACAAGTGTGATTCACCTTACAATTTAAACTGATTTAATTTTGAGTAATCATTAATGAAATCATTGTAAAAAATTGTATACAAATATGCCGATTCTTCTACATGTTCCAATAGAAAAAAATGATATAGATTAACTAAGTAAGTAATGCACAGCATTAACATGTAAAGTGCTGTATGAATTCTGATACTATCATTTTTTTCCTGTAATTTTTCAGCGACTCCAAAGTCCACGAGGCCTGAAGCCAACGGGAAGAAGATCAATGATTACTTTAAGGTAAGTAATCCTTACTCCTAGGTTTCCTGGTGGATGTTCATGTTGTTATGAAAAAAGAATAAATGGAAGATTAAGTACTCAGACCAAATGAGTGATAAAGAGATGCAGGAACCTAAAGAGCAGATATTGATTTCTGGACAAAAGTACAGCGACATCTCAAAATTGCAACAACGACATGTTGATATAATGATCAAGAGTAATAAAAAAATAAAACAGCATCTCGTAAATCTTCTTTTAATTTTTACTGATTCTGTCATGCTGCACAGATTTTTTGCGGAATTGCATTTTTATTTTCGTTGCATTTTTATTTTCGATGTTTATGGTTTATTATTTCCATTGTATATTCACTGCCATGTAGAGTTTTTATTTTTATCCACAGAGTTAAGTTAGCAGAATTGAGGAAATACTGTACATTTCAAATTAACAATATATAGATTAATACTGACTTTACTTTTATACAGCAAAACCAATCCCCCAGTAGAGGGTCAATGAATACACACCTAGGAACCAAATCCCCGTCCCCACAGGGCATTCCATATGTAAGTATTTACACCCCCAAACTATGGCATTATATGAAAGTACTTAGATCCCAAACTAGGGTATTCCATACGTATATACTTACATCAAAACTAGGGCATTTTATGAAAGTACTTATATCCCAAACTAGGGCATTTTATGAAAGTACTTGCATCCCAAACTAGGGCATTTTACGAAAGTACTTACATCCCAAACTAGGGCATATTATGAAAGTACTTACATCCCAAACGGGCATTTTATGAAAGTACTTACATCCCAAACGGCATTTTATGAAAGTACATACATCCCAAACTAAGGCATTTTATGAAAGTACATCCCAAAATAGGGCATTCCATATATAAGTACGAAAATCCCAAACTTATGGCATTCCACACATGTATATAAGTACTAAAATCCTACTACAACACCAGTGCAGTCCGTACACAAGAACAACACAAACTAGAGGACATCTTCACTGATATACAGTTGAACTTCGGTATCTCAAACACTGATATCTGGAATACCATAGATATGTTGAAACGATTTGGAAGTCCCAACTGCTTATTCTTTAAGTAATTTACCCTCGATATCTTGAATACTTGAATATCTCAAAGTTTTTTTCTTGGTCCCATCAAGTTCAAGATAACGAGGTTTGACTACATACCTTACCTGTGCTACAGTGTTTGAGATCTCATTGAACAATGCAATCCAACATTAGAATTAACAGATGTCTTAGTAAACCTAGTTAATACAGCACCCCCTATTCTGGGTATAGATAGGACACAGTCTTTGAATGCCGTTAACTGCATCACTATTTTTTTATATTTGACAGGGTTATACAGTTCCCTCCCCAGGTAGTGTCAGTAACTCGGACAGCATGGGGTATCCTCCACAGCGATCACTTTACCAGTACCACAAGGCCGTGCAGACCGATGTCGAATACGTCAACAGTGGGGAACAGAAAGACAATCGCATGGAAGACTTGATACGGGTAAGTCTCGACATAATCAAAAGAATTAATACGGGTAAGTCTCGAGATAATCGAAAGATTTAATACGGGTAAGGAAGTCATAATCATAAGATTGATTACGGGTACGTAATTCAGAGAGAGTCAATGACTTAATACGGGTAAGGCAAGATATAATCATAAGATTTAATACAGGTAAGGAATTCAGAGAGAGTCAAAGACTTAATATGGGTAAGGCAGGAAGATATTAATCACAAGTCATAGACTTAAAATACTAGTAATTACAGGTCATAGATGTGATTACAGGTCATAGGTGTAATTACAGGTCATAGATGTGATTACAGGTCGTAGATGTAATTACAAGTCATAGATGTAATACAAGTAAGCACACAGTAATAAACACAAATCTAAGATACTGTACTTCTTTTAGCACTGCTAATTCAGATGTACGCTAATATTGGAGTAAAACACATACATCTAGAAACTTTTCTCCAAAATGTGCTTATTTATGATTATGCTAATCAGCTGATAAGAGAGAACAGGGGCTGACAAATAGATTTTTTAGGTATTTGTCCAAGGGCAAGTGCATGGTCAAAATTCACTTGCCCTACCTAAATTTTTGCTTGCCCCACCATAAACTAACACACTGTATTTATATATTCTGTAGATTGGCAAACAATCACGATGGTTTTAATTTCACTATGTTTGGGATTCATCATTTTCCCGCGAAATTAAACCCATCGAGAATGCTATCAGGGATTTATCAGTACCTTCTCAGGGGCCGAAATTCGGCCCCATTCCCAATTGAAAATGAGTTCAGTTTTTCCCAATTTGGCAGTATTTTTTCCCAATTGATGACAATACTTTAACACTTCGTTATCTTTGAAAAAACAAAGAGTAAAATTGTCAGATTGTCTGTAATTTTCATCTATTTAACTCATTTAGCAAAGCTACAGTCATAACACGTTTAAAAACACTGTAAAAACATCGCCAACTTTTAATCCGAATTTCCTCTGTTTTTCTGAAAAAGGTGATATTGTGTAATTGAATAGATCTATTAAGTTATTTCCACCTACTCAATTGATCTACGAGTGAATGGTAAGGACTGTAGGCATTATTTCAGATAGAAAAATATATTTTCAATGTTTTAATACATATTAAAAAAGGACTTTGAGAAAATGTGTACTTAGTACAATTTTTCGCAGGAGGTTTATAATCTCCAGAAACACATTCTATAATGACCTAAGTTGGAATCTCATACACACATGTACTACCCTAAGTTGTATAGGTAAATACTTTATACTCATTGAAGTCAATTTTACTTTTATTAGTCTATTATTCATAATTGATCTTGTTTGATGAAGTTGAATCAGTTAGGATTTAATTGTCTGTTTGGTTTCCCAAATTAGAGTTCCTGCTGAAATGTTGAATAAATTACACCTAAATACATGATTTAAGCGATATTTTAAAATTTTTCCCAATTTCATAAAAAAGCCGATAATTTTTTCCCAATTCCCCAAAAATGGCGTTTCCCAAAATAGGCTGATAAATCCCTGGCTATCGTAAGTTTTTAAAAACATTTAAATGCTTATATGAAATTTAAACCATCGCAATTGGTACTTTTTGAGAAATTGTGAAATTTTTACACCGTGGAATTAAAATGACTTACAGCATTTCAAAAAATAGAAAGACAAGTACTGAGTAGATCATGCAAGTCCCTAAGCCCAGCTTTAAATCTGTGACTTACATATCAATTTTATTTTTGCCCACAGGCAAGTAGTTGATAAAATTTCACTTGCCCATCAACAGGCAATGGGATTTGTCTGCCCCTAAAGACTACACTAAAATTTTGATTAGGCTAATTTACATACATTGACAGTACAGTGATTTTTCTATATCCTCTTTAGGTCCGAATATCGACCCTTTCCCCTCTCAAAAATTACCGATTTTTTTCCCAATTTCTATTGCTTTTTTTCCCAAAACAAAACCGATGTTGTTTTTGTTATATTGAATTTTTTACGTACGGCTTATCTAAAATGGAACGCTATTGTTCTCGGTCATTCAGACTCTTAAAAAATAGTAAGAAACAGCAGATTACATCGTGCGTTTACAAGCCTTAGAAAAACACATTGTCATGTCAAACCTGTTGTATAAATACATCGTAAGAAAGTGTAATGTGCATGTGAACCGGCAAAACGTAGCTCTATTTGTAAATCCAAGTACAAGTAACTCTACAGTAAGCATCCCTGATTCCATAAAAATCAAACTGTTTCTACATCCGACAGATGCAACTAGTATTGCAGAGAAATGGCAGCATTATGATTAGCTAGGGTCATAAAAAAGCTTTAATAATTAATTTGAAAAAAAAAATGATTTGTCATTTATCATGTCAGATTAGTCTATCTTCAATGGCTATTACGAGAAAGATTTTCTCTTATGTCTACCATTATGGCCCAAAAAAAAAATGGAAATATAGGTTGGTCACAATTAATGACGACTTTCAAAGATTAAAAAAAGGGTTAAGAATTTAGAACTGTGTCTAATTTGTTACTTTTTAGCAAATAAATTGAATAAATGATGTTACATTTACTTATATACCAGTATTTCATTTTACCTGCCAATTAAGGTTAAATTTCAATCTTTCTGATTTTTCCCAATTTGATACAAATGTCGATGATTTTTCCCAATTGTAAAGGCCCAGGCCCCTTTTAAAAAATGTAGAAAAATCACTGCAGTACATGTTCCTGTAAAGCAATAAAAATAATTACAGGTATCAGACTTGTAGCAGAGCTGTCCCTAAGACCTGGGGGCCGGGAATTTCCCCACCTATAATGATGTAATCCCCAGTTATTCTCCTGAAATCCCTGTAGGGAGGAACCCTAGACCCCCTTCTACAAGTCCTCTGCTATTTTGATTTTTAGGGACAACTCTGTGTAGTACCAGTAGGGCTTCAAGATGCATGGGTTTTGACACAATTGCAAAAAGTCAAGCCACAAAAGATCTCAAATATATTGTAAATTTAATTATACAGAAAGTTTTCTTAGGACAAATTCAGAAACAAAGTTGTTGTTACTTCACAGCAAAATGAAGAACTTCGGAGGCAAGTGACCACTCAGCAGTCCCAATTAACTGCTCAACAGAAACTTATAGAGAAAAACAAAGATACCGCCCAGAAATGTCTCCAAGTCAACAAGTCTCTACTAATAGAAAAGGTAGGGGGAACTTATATATGACTCATAGAGAAAAACAAAGATACTGCCCAGAAATGTCTCCAAGTCAACTAGTCTCTACTAATAGAAAAGTGTAAAAGTCTGCATTTGCATTGGTTTGCTAAATCTCTCTGTTTTATAGATGGGTGGATGAGGTGTCAAATAATGATTGATGTCCTAACCTCCTCAGATAATTTTTATGGGAATAGCCATTAAAATAAATTTATTTTATAATTTTGTGGTTGGTTCTACAAGTCTTTTTTTCTATGAAGAAGACCTGCCTAGTACAATTAGGAGTATTATATGTATTACTTGATGCAGATTTGAAGGATTCTTTTGGTAAAGACTTCATTTATCAACTTGTCATGAAGAAGTTACTAGGAGAGGGCTAACCTTTAAGATAACAATTCATCTGCATTGATTTTTGTGAAATAGAATGCATGACTGTTGCTGGGAGAGAAATTTAATCTGCATTGTGGGAAACATGCTGAAGTGGTTGTTGATTAAACCTATGTGAAGCATGTATATATATATATATATATATATATATATATATATATATATATATATATATATATATATATATATATATATATATGTATATATATATATGTATTGATTCTGCTGTAAGGAAAGGGGGGGGGGGTAGGGGATTCTGTTTCTACCTTTTCATTTTAGTAATGAAATAATATTTTTATGTTAATCAAGTAGAAAAAATATGTTTTTGCTGTGTATTCATATTAAAACCCTTTGAAGTATTGTTCAGTTTTCTGTTGCCTCCTTATTCCGGTTAAAATATTTTGAGAATTTTAAGAGGGTGTATAAAAGACTCTTGATGAAAATTTAAGAATGGGTGTAGAATATTCTGATGATTTAGCAGTCAAATAAGTGTTCAGCCTTATGAATTTAATTCTGATATAATTTTGATTGCTGTAGAGCAAGTTGGAAAAAAAGACGACACGGCAGAAGTCGATGGGAAATCGGTTACGGCTTGGGCAGTTTGTGACCCAGCGGCAGGGGGCTACGTTTGTCGAGAACTGGGTGGATGGATGGGCATTCACGGACCTTATGAAGTATTTATACTTTGATGTATATGTAAAGCACTTGTAAATCATTATTGATAAGGGAAATTTGCAGTCAAAATGAAATCAGTTTGAAAGATCTTGCGTCAGTGGGGGGAAAAAAGCAATGTAAAGTCATTACTTTGTCATACATGTCAATTGTGTAGAATATAGAACTTACTTTCACTTTCCATTTTACAGGCAACAAGAGAGAATTGCACAGGAGAGGGAAGATATCGAGAAACAACGTAAACTTCTAGTCAAGAAAAAACCCAACACTGCAGTCACAAAGAATTCCAAAAATGACAACTTTCTGAAACCAGGTGGAGAGAAACCGTAAGTTAGATTGATAGGTTCCTAAAAGAAAAAGATGAAATTGGGTTATACATGTATATGAAGGTACTATGATAATGTACAGAAACTGTAGGTTAGTTTGATAGGATCCAAAAAGAGAAACTTCAAAATTGGATTATACATATACAGATACAGATCATTTAGTTAATTTGATAGAATCCAAGGGAAAAACTTAAAAATTGGTTTATATGTATACAAACTGATCATGTAGAGAAACTGTAGGTTATTTTGAAAGGATCCAAAAAGAAAAACTTTAAATTGATTTATTTTTGCATAAATAAAAGGGACTGTCTGCTTTTTCTTTTTTACATAAATTTTTGTTATTAAAGATCATATACATGTTCTACTTTAAGCAAAACTTAAAAAAAATTCTTGCTATGAATACCAAGTAACTTATCATGTGAAAATAGGGTGTCATGAAATTGGTGATCTGCAGTAGTTAATATGATCATATACATGTAGCTAAGCCTTAAGTATAGGCTTTGTTTGTATGATCATGGAATAGTTCATGTACAGGGTAGATAATTAGAAGAAGTAAATTCAATGAGTGAATTTGTTAGTTTTTGAAATTCTTTGTGAAGAAATATTGGAGCAGAGAAACTTCTCCCATGCCTCAGGGCTCAGTTTACATACTTGCATTTCACAAAATGAAGTTGCTGTACTAACGTTGTGTTTTAATCTCCTGAAAAATTTTTCACTGTTCATATCCTCAAAAAATTTTCAGTAAAATTACAGACAAAAATTCTACACAATTTGTTTTTATTTTCAGTCTGACATTAGCAGAGTTTTATGAACAAGATGAAATCCTCAAATTACGACAGGCTAGTCTGAAAAAGGAGGACGCTGATATTCAACTTGAGTTGGAGAAATTAGAACGTGAGAGGAATCTCCACATACGAGAGCTCAAACGGATTCATAACGAGGACAATTCTAGGTCTGTTGGTGTTGTCATAGTAAAAACAAACGTCTTTTAACAAACAAAACTGATTCCTTAATACATGTATGTATGGATATATTATTCAAGGGAATATTTTTTAACGAGAGTAGGTTTTGATTATACCTTGTTTCAAATTTTCTGAACACTGTAATTCAACATGATGGAGTTTTAACAGTCCTTCTGTCATATAGTAATTTTATGCCTGGCTCAGTATGATTAATTATGTCAGGCCATTCCAAATTTTTTCTATGTTTAGCGTCCGCGTGCGCCTTGGTTTTTGACACCCCATATCAGAAAAAACAAACAAAATCAGGAGTCCTGAAATTGTTTATTCTGGTCGAAATCATTAAATTCTCTCATTTTCTCTATGTATTGTCAACAATATGTCATATTTGGAATATTGTAAGCATTTAATACCTTGATTCTGCTGAAGAATAGATATTTCTACGAGAAAAATAGATTAATAGAATCAAATCTTTCGAATGACATCATTTTTTATGACTATAAAGACTTGTGTTTTACTTTTTGGTTTGTGTGTTTTTTGCGAATAGGTAGGTAGGTATTTGAAGGATGGGTGGACGCTAAACATAGAAAAAACTTGGAATGGCCTGATTAAAAACCAAACATTGATGATATTTTAGATGAGTTGCCCATCACAAGTGCTATAATTGTTTTTTATCAGATTTATAGCAAAAATCCAGGGAAGTTAAAACTGATTCTTTAGTAAATTTATTAAAAACAGGTGTACATGTAGCTGTTTATTAGAATTCCGTTACTTTTAATCTTGATGAAAAGTCATTGACTATTTTACTATAGACATGTACTTTTGAGTTTTGTTTGCTGTGAATATACATCAAACCTCGTCATCTCATACTTGATTTGACGGCGAAGAAACTTCAAGATATTGAGATTAAAATATAATAAGAAAATAGGGGTTGGGACTTTCAAATCTCTTTGACTTATCCATGGTATTTGAGTTATAGGATATGTCGAAGTGATTTGGAAGTCCCAACTACTTATTCTTTAAGTATTTTACCCTCGATATCTCGAATCCTCAGATATCTCAAAGTTTTTTCTTGGTCCCATTGAGTTCGAGATAACGAGGTTTTACTGTTTTTGCTTATCGGATGGCAGACCTACCTGTCGTTCAGCTGTATATGCATAAGTGAGATTTATAAATAAAAAATAGCAAATGTAGGAAATAAAAATGTCTGAATGATTTTAAAATATTATATGAATTGGACTGAAGACTTGTGGAAAATAAAGTGTGTTCCAGTATAATAACATCTAATATTATCGTTACAGAAGTTTGAATTACACAAATCAGGATGGGGATTGAAATATTTAAAAGTATTAGTTTGAAAGTTATTGAACAATTGTGTGACTTCTGAGGTTTTGTATTTCAGGTTTAAGGACCATCCAACTCTCAATGAACGATATTTATTGTTAAATTTACTCGGTAAAGGCGGATTTAGTGAGGTCCACAAAGTAAGTACAGTAATAAAAGCCCTGATTTCACTTGATTTTCTCTCAAGTTTCCAAAGGGTAAAAAGTTTTACAAAGTTTTGGTAGATTTAAGAAAGTTTAATCCGTTTATTTTGCAGGGCTTTGACCTGAAAGATCAAAGATATGTGGCATGTAAAATTCACCAGTTAAACAGGGAGTGGAAAGATGATAAAAAAGCTAATTATATTAAGTAAGTAAACAGAAATATACATACTTGCTAATTTTTTGCCATCATCTTTTGTAATTTTACATCTTGGCTAAAGTGAAAGTTAAAATATTTACATGTACCAACTCTGAACCATCAAAGTACAAAAATGTTTTGTGGAAATTATTTTTGAACATTAACCTGCATTTTAAAAAATTTAGAATTCCCAAGTAGTAGGAATTTTCCAAGGATGAAAATTTTAAATAAGACCTGTTAGAAAATATGTGTACATTTTGCTTGATATGCATAAAGTATACATGTATAATGTTCTTTAGAGATTATTTTGAATATTGTTGTGTTTTGTAGACATGCACTAAGGGAGTACAATATTCACAAAACTCTGGATCATCCGAGGATAGTACGACTGTATGATGTGTTTGAAATTGACAATAATTCGTAAGTGTTATATTTTATCTTTAATGAAATTGACAGCTAATAGAAAGGTACATGTTGACATCTTTTGTAATATGTAAAGAGAAGTAATAAGAATTTTATTAAAACTTACACATTTGATAATCATTGAAGCCATGTTTGCTTGTTATGACCTGTTGTATTTTAGACTTGAATGTGATTCACATCAAATCAAAAAGTAAAATGTTTTCCTGAATAATAAATAAATTCACATTTTTGACAGAAATGAGTACTGTTCTATGCATACTTAGTTTTTAAATAGGATTTATATTTTGGCCCTACATCAGGACAAGTGGGTTAATTTATGAATGCTGCAAAAAATTTTGATTTAGGTAAAAAAAAAATTGCGGCTTAAACTTAAATGCGCAAAATAGTCCCAACTTATGTATGTGCTAAATTTAGTACCTGCTAGAATAAGTAAATGCAGTTTACCATATTAAAATGCCCTTTTTCACAGATTCTGCACAGTGTTAGAGTATTGTGAAGGAAACGACCTTGACTTCTACCTGAAGCAGAACAAATCCATTCCAGAAAAGGAAGCGCGCTCGATTATCTCGCAGACGGTCAGCGCTCTCAGATATCTCAATGAAATCAAGCCACCTGTGATTCACTATGACCTCAAACCAGGTAAACAGTGTTGGGGGGGGGGGGGGGGGACATGCTATACAGAAGTAAGGACAAAATACCGTAATCATGAATGACCTATTACAACTACTTTATATTTTGCTGCATACAAGTTATGTAGGAAAATATACAGTATAAGGTCATATTATCATGCAGCCTTTGCCATAGTTAAATGTTGATGAAGGTTCCTAAAGAGAAATTAAGCACCATCTGTCTTTATCGGTCATATTTGAGAAATATGATAAATCTTATATTACTGGGCAGTGGGACAGTTGGTTTATATTTACTTTGATGTAACTTTCAGGGAATATATTACTGGGCAGTGGGTCAGTCAGTTTATATTTACTTTGAGGTAACTTTCAGGGAATATATTACTGGGCAGTGTATTTACTTTGATGTAACTTTTAGGGAATATATTACTGGGCAGTGGGTCAGTCAGTTTATATTTACTTTGATGTAACTTTCAGGGAATATATTACTGGGCAGTGGGACAGTTGGTTTATATTAATTTGATGTAACTTTCAGGGAATATATTACTGGGCAGTGGGTCTGTCAGTGGGGAAATCAAGATAACCGATTTTGGCCTCAGTAAGATCATGGATGAGGAAAATATCACTCCTGATGGCATGGATCTCACTTCTCAAGGAGCGGGGACATACTGGTAAGTAGAGATCTAATGTCCTCAAGGTATTATATTCATTCACACAATGTCTTCAATAAAACTAATTTGAAATAATTATTACAATGCAATTAAAAAAAATTACTGTAAACTTGCTTGTTGTTGCACACCTTCGAAATTGTTTTATCAGGTATTTACCACCAGAGTGCTTTGTGGTGGGGAAGAATCCCCCCAAAATTTCTTCCAAGGTGGATGTGTGGTCAGTAGGGGTGATATTTTACCAGTGTCTGTATGGCAAAAAGGTACAGTATATGTAGTGGTCAGAAACTTGTAAATGTTTTATAAAGGTACACTGAACATTTCAAATTGTTCAGCATTGGTAGCATGATTCTAATAAGATAGACTTCTCACATGACAGATCTCTATAAATAAAGCCCAAGTTTTTTCAGCCAAATTGATGATTTATGCATAAATGTAGCTTATGGAGGCTTCATTAAGTTAAGTCCAAAGATGCGAAGAATATGTAAAGTTCTGACTAACATGCATTAAAGAGATGCACATAGATAAATTTTTTAATCGATGCATATACCGTAAAATCTGGATTTTTCGTGGGGTCAAATTTTCATGCTTTGAGGGAAAAATATGGGTTCGTGATTTGGCACGTAAAAAGAAAATTTCATTCTCCAGGGGGAAAAAACCTGATTTTACGATCACTGTATAACTTTCTGTATGTTTTTTGTAGCCCTTTGGACACAATTTATCTCAAGCTGCCATTTTAGAAGAAAACACAATATTGAAGGCTACAGAGGTGGAATTCCCTTCTAAGCCACCAGTCAATAGTGAGGCCAAGGTAATAAATTGGTGACAAGGGATTGGTTTATAGCAATCATTACATTTGTATTGTGTGATATGTGAAACAGAGAAAATAATATAAACATTAAATACGTGTACTTGAAGTTGTCGTTCCTCTTTAATTGTTAATTGTACAATTTCCTGGTTATAATCGTGTTTTCCTGCATTTCAGAATTTCATTCGTCAGTGCTTACAGTACAAAAAAGAAATGAGGCCCGATGTGTTACTTTTGTCACAACACGAATACCTAAAACCGACACAACTCAAGTCAAAAGGGTAAGTTGTCCCATCATCCATCAGTTGCACGTTTAATTTCGGCTTTTTTCTGTGCATTTTAGTCACCCTCAATTGTCTATAGTCCTAAGCAAAACATTTTTTCACCACTGGCGCATAGAACCTGCCAGACAATGAAAACTACTTGCCCCTGGGATTTTGGGATGCTCTCACATTTTTTATTCATTTACAGATGTCCCAAAAAGTGTTCCTATTATCAATGGTTTTACTGATATTCCACTTTCATGAAATGCTGTTTATCAATCCCAACTTCTAGGGCCTTTGTAATGAGAATGTAAACAAATCATACACCTGGTGTGATCAAAAGTAGATCTTAAATTTTAAAAAAAGAAAAGAAATGTACACACCATTTGGACTTATCTAATTTTCAATTTTACTGGCCCCCAGCCAAATTAACTCGCTTTGGACCAATAGGTTTTGGTTAAGACTGTATCTTTACCCACTAATTAAATAAATATTAAATGAACCCGGGCAGGGTTATCGTTAGAGCATTAAAAATTAAGGTAATTAGATAATTAGGCATTCGGACCATCAAGAACTGTAGCTGACCTTCAAAGACAGATGTATCCCTCAAAATGTGAGCATAATAAAACTTGTACACCAAAATTGATACACTATTTTCAACCATTTAATTTTAATGATTGTAAAGATGAATGGAATTAATGCTGGATTTAATTTCTTTAGATCCCGATCAGAATCGATAAGGTCACGCTCACAGTCAACGGACGGTGACACTGATGATCAGTGCTATTTCTGATTTCTCTCTCGGATGACACACCAAAGAAAAGTACCTGTTCATTTATCAATGTGGCTTTTAGTGTTTGCGCTTGGGCATCATGGCATCGTCATCCATTAAGGGGGCCACTTTAAAGAGATTTTTTTTTTTCAAATTTCACAAGAATTTCGCATAAAGGCATGCTAAATTATATTCAGCTTCTTTTAAAACTTAAATTTAGGAAATTGACCTCCTTTCCAGGAATAACCTCTTTTGGAAAAATCAAACACAAGTCTCTTTCATTGCTAAAAATACATTTGTTTTCACATGTTTTTGATAGAGTATACATGTATTTACAGGGTTGTCCCTAAGAATTGAAATAACGGGGGACATTAAAAAAGTAGACGGGGGTCTGAGGTTCCTCCTCTAACATGGGGTTGAGGGGGATTACCAGAATATCTAGGGAATTATGTCATTATAGGCAGGGAACTTCCCCAGCCCCTGGGTCTTGGGGATAACCCTGATTTACATACTAAATGTTTGAAGACAAATCTGTCCAGCTCATTCAATATACGTTAATTAGCTCTGCATATATAATATCTTCTGTAGTGCACAAGCATTTACTAAAAATTGTGATATTGTTCTACATGTAAATTATTCAAATAGATACAGACTGTTACTGACAGCTATAGGTTTTTAGGTGTTTGTGTTTTTTTAAAGTAAAATGTGAGTAACAAAAGCATGTACATATGAATTTGATGTTTATAATAACTTGGTGTTGTTTACTTGTAGTTGTTTATTTCCAGGCATATGAGTGACTCTTCACTATTGGCTCCAAGTCCGGGACCACCCTCCATCGGTACACACGCACTAACTCTAAGCCAGTCGCCCTCCTTTACGTTTGGCGAGAAACTATGATAATCAATTTAGTGTGATATTTTTTTTAATTTCACTTTGTCCTCTCCATCCGTAGCAAGACGGGGGAAAGAATTTCTACCAGTGTTTAGGTAGGATCAAAATTCCGCCGGGGAATAGAGCTTTTTGAGGGGAAAACATTTATGTTTTCTCAAGCTGGAAGTGTTTGATGAAATGACTTGTCGAATTTTTTATGTGATCAAGTTTTCATCATTGGATGGTGGGGGTCCATTTCCTCAAACTTCAAAAAACTTTTTGAGGAATCAAAGTTGTGAATAGTGAGTTAATTGTACATAAATTATTGAAAATAATTCCCAACACTGATGCTTCTCGTGTACAATGCAGAATTACAAAACTTCATATTTGTTTTACTAGGTGTTAAAAACAAACATTCTTGTTATTTTTTACTTGCCAAATATGTGATTCAGTGATGGAAGTGTGAATGTTACCATGGCAATGAAGACGTTTTCCTTGGCAACCAGCATGAAAAGTTTTCTTTGTGAGTTCTGGAATACGGTGCAAAAATTCTGGGATATGTGTACCTGGCAGTGTGGAAAAAATCAGTGATGTAATATTTATAAATAACCGCATGTTTTCCCCACTGCAAACTTCAGAATTCTATCAGACGAAGGAAATTTCACAGAAAATTTCACAACAGTAGACTGGATATCCAATTCATTGTCAAACAGATCAACCAGACTATATTCATCAACATTTAATTCAGCTGTTGTAAACTATGACTCAGCATATTTGAATGGAATTTAGAAATTCTTCACCTTTAGTAACCAGTGTTTGATAATTAGGCTGTGATAAGCTATTGATTGGTGAAAAATGTTTGTTCAATTTGATTTTTTTTTCATCCAAAGACACAGCAACAAGTATTCATCTTTTTATTTTATCTATAAACATGTTAGATTACCTGATACTGAAAAGAATATTACTGAAAACTTTAATAATGTATTTATATTTAGAAACCTTTTTTTATGTATTGTCATTGAATTTCAGTTTTGTGTTAATACATCTTCAACGTTCATTCATGATGAGTTAAAAAAAATTTAACAGAGAAATATATAGAAATACATGATAGAATAGCCTCGTAGATTTGTTTAAAATAAAAATTATTGGTTAAAAAAATCAATTTTGAACAAACAGTAGAGAGTAGAAAATCCAAGTCGTAATAGTGCTAAATTTGAGCCCAGAACAGAGAACCTTGGCGTAGTCTATGATCAGCATAATCACTGGATAGATGTGATATCTAGAAAGGGGTGTCCCACCCAGAATCATAGGAAATTAATTAATGAGGATTGAATTAATGGATATATTTAACCTTTGATTCCATTTTGAATGTGATTGAAATATTAATGACCAAGCGACAAAGTGCAAGAATGAATATTATGTTCTGTTTGTTAAGTAAGAAAGTTTTAGATCAAACATGAGTGTGTGCTTCCATAATGGACAAACTGCGTTAATATTGTATGAATGTTTTTTGGGGGTTTTGAATAGAATTTAAGACAATTGCTGAGTGTTCAATCATGAAATTTTAAAATGGCTGTCTCATTTGGTGTTTTTTTTTTTGTTTTGTTTTTTTTTTGATTTTGGTTTTTGTATCCACTTCTACAAATACAGATTTTCCCGCTCTTCAATACATGAATAATTATATATTGATGAACAAAACAAATAAGATGATAATGTATATGATGTATTTGAATACAAGATGATGAATTTTGTATCCCATAAGACATTTCTCAATGTTCAGAACAAAGAACTTTTATTTTCAAAAAATCTTAATTTTCCAAAATCTTGAAATATATGTACAAAAAAATGTGTTCTAAAAATAAAGGAATCAATAGCCTCACTTGCATCTGGGCAATACATTGTTTGAAACTTCAATCGGAATTTGATAATGTTTTAAAAGATTTTATTTTTAAGAATTAAATCATGAATAAGATAGGCAGATTTTAAAACTGTTTTCCTTTTACTTTGTAATGTTTAATTTTATGGGCCATACTTAAGATTATAGTCCCTCAAAAACTCACATTTGTTGTATTTCATGATTAGTCAAAAATAATAAAAGAATTATAATTTTCTCTCTCCATATTTCTTAAAGATATGAAGTAGTAATCTCATTTAAAATATTTTAATTTTATGGGTACGTATGCTGTTATTGTAGCTAAGTAGTTACCTCCCTTTATAGTGCTATTTCACAGTTTTTCATACGGTCTGTTTTAAATGTTTTGTTCAGATGAAATCTGATGTACTAATTTTTAATTTTGAATTGTGGTGCAAAAACTTTTTGCTATTTTAAAAGTTTTTTAAAGCCTGATGTGTTTTTAAGGATGTTTGGACACTGAATGACAGAAAAGCAATATTGAGAAACTCTCTGGTTACAATTAATAAAAAGAGGAAAAATAAGTCTAAACTGCTGATAATTATACGTAGGCACAATACAAGCATTTACTGAACGTGAAAAGTACAGAGATTAACTCCCTTGTATCTAATTGGACAATAAAAATGATTAGTAAGATGTTAATTTGTAGATAGATCAAATTGAAAAATACCATTTCTGGTTGTTAAGGACGATATAGCAAGAAACCATATACCAAGAATGACGAAATATTCTGTATAATTTGAAAAGTTTCACTTAAACTATGAATGTACAGTACCAACAAGTTCTTAAACATCCAACATTCCTGGATTCAGTGAATGCTTGACCTCAAAAATAGATGAATTAACATTGTGGTCCATGCATAAATGTACTCCTTGGTCTATACATGGTATTTGTAATTTAATTTTTTTTTTTTTTTTTTGAATCTTGTTAATTTTTCCTTCTGATCTATCATTGGTAAAGGAATAACATTGATCATGTGTATTAATTCTTCCTCACACTTTGTAAGTTTTATATGGGCTCTGATTTGTGTGCCATTTTTACTTTGTTTCCATTTTATTGGTGTGTCTGAGTGAAAATTTGTTCATGTACATAGTGAATTATGTAAGATAGAGAAAATGAGTTGTTCATGTCCCCACAGATATGATCAGAAATAAATAATACAAACCAATTCATGAACTTCAAGTCATATTTCCAAATTGAATAAAAGTTCAATGACATATGTTAGGAATTTCAATATTCCATTTAGATAAACACTTTTAATTTAATAATATAGAACATTTTGATTTTCCCTTTCTTTTGTAATTTTTTAGACCTGAATTCAGTGATAATTTCTGATTGATAGAATGGGGATGTGGACCCGCTCTGCTCCGTGTACAAGCGTTAATAAATATCAGTATTGTCGCTGCTAAGGTCTTTCAATGTTTTAGTAGGCACACAGTGTGTAAAGAGAGTGTTATCTATAATTATGGATAAATCCAGAGTGTGTCCGCAGAGAGTGTATGAATGGTTGCCATGGTTATGTCCTACACACGTGTAATACACGTGTCACGGAAAATAAAAATTATTTTTCAAAAAGTTCGAACTGCAGTCATGTTTTTTCTTTTGTTGATGTTCGCCTGTTTTTGAGTAGTCAGGTGTTTCAGGATGTCTGGTTTTTGCCTAAATGCTAGTAGTATTGCAGGGGTGGATTCAGGGCAGGATGCGAGCTATTGTTATAAATATAACAACAAAGAGGCGATGAGTCCTCTATCTTAATTAATATAATTTATTTAGGGCCAGTCAGTCTTCACCGGGCTAATACCAACATCAAGGCGGCAAATCACTCATATGAAATAGGAAAGAAGTAGTTCCACAAAGTTTATCATTCATATCGGTAATAAATATTCTGTATTTTCACCATTTGATACTGAATGTACTTAAACTACTTCTTGAAAATAAGTCTCTCTTTCAAGTCCAAACATACAATGAATAAATGGCACGAGAAAAACAACGGAAAAGCCAATTATACCATATACAGCAAATTTATACGCAATTTTCACTGAAGGGTGTTCCGGATTAGGACTTTTCAAACCATAGAATTTTGAAAATAGCCGTACAGTAATTTCTTTCAATGTTAACTTTAGTAATCCGATAATGACGACACCAATGAAAAATCTCAGAATTTGAATTGCCAAATCACGCACAGTTGGAATAATGACGTCATATGGACCATTTGGACCACCGGTAGTGGTAAAGTGAAAATAAAAGTTGAGCCAAGAACCGATGCTGACTCCTGTGAGCACAGACACAATCTGCACAGCGTCGCCTTTGGAACTGCTACCATCTTTGCTTTGTGGGTATAGCACGGTGCACATAGCAATAGCCGTTGTCAAGACGACAAAGGGAGCAAATGGATGTGTCTGCTGATACCAATCAAAATCTTCCAGAAATGGAAACGAGATTAGCATGATGACTAGAGAGATACCTATGCCACAAAGGAGGTCCTAAAAATACAAAAATATGAATGAACTATTTATTAAGTACACATATGGCTTTCCACACACACACAAAGAAAAATTCCACACAGGTGCGTCATAAGTGTATTTCTAAAAACGATGGTATTCTAAACCAGCTTTCACAGATAGTGTTTTACAACTAATTGGTCTTAAAGTAAACAAGTTAGTAGCACTGGTTTCCAAAGTGGGGGGGGGATCAACCCCCGGAAAAAAGTTGACAAGCCAAAAAGAAAAAAAAAGTTAATAAGATAAAAATATTGCATGAAGAAAACTCTAATAGAAAGAGCTTTGTATAGTAGTTTATTTATAGTCCCGTTTTACAAAGGAACTTAAGTACGGCAAGACTAAAAACTTAGGTTGATTATAAAATATGGCAAAATCAATGATTTTGTTAATAATTGCTTGCATAAAAATATCTATTTTAAAAACTTCAAGCAGCGTTTTCAAATTGATGTAAAAAAGAAAGTTATCAAAATTACATTTTGGTCTTAGTCATGTTATTTTATAAAACGGGTCCGCGTCAGCTGTACGTGTTTCTAGCTGAGCAGGAAAAAAACTTTTGCAGGCTTATCGCTGATTATTTCTAAAGATTTCGACGGTTAAATGACGTCTTTCACGGCAAAAAGAAAACAAGGAAATACTCGTAAATCCCGAGGCCAGAATAAAAGTAATATATACGTATATATATATTACTTTTATTCTGGCCTCGGGATCATGAAACAGACTTAGACTTTAGTCAAAATTTCAGTCATCTGGAATATTTTTATTACTTGTCAACTGAATCTGTTGATTTTCACACAACAGCAGTTTGATAATGCAATGTTGAAAACCATTTTTGTTTCGGACTGTTTGACTTCTAAATTATTTCAGTGCAATATACAGGTTTGGACTTAAGTTTAAGATGTTTCATGATCCCGAGATCTGGACACTTAAATAAATCTTTCTGCGACGAAAGTTTCTTGAATGAAAATTGTGTCGTCATGTGGCCTTCAATTTCTTGTTAATTCAACACCAGCCTATCTAGTAAAACAATATGAACTCTTTAGATGGTTAATATAGTTTGATATTCACCAGAAAAATATCAGTATTTACCGATAGAAATAGCCCAGAATTGTTTAATAACAAGTCCTGTATTATCTAAGTTAAGGTTCATTGACCCTATGATAAGAGAGATAACTCTCACTGTAAATTAATTACTATTATTCTCTTAAAAATAAACAAATTTTGCACTGCAAGGTATGTTGAAATGGTTTGCATTTCAATTATGATTAAGATTCATATAGTAAATAAAAATAAATAAATAAAATTCGTTTATACGTAAACAGAGGGATGGTAAACCTTAAATGAGTATGTGATTCATATCACCGAGAGTCAAAATGTAAGAACAGCTAAGAAGAATCTGGAAAGAGATAATATTCATGAGTCAACTCTCCTTAAACTATAGTTTAAAGTAATATCTAATCTTGATCATGTGTAATTGTAAAATGTTCTATTTAACAACTGTCAAAAACGTGTACATCTTGTAAAGTTTTTTTGGCATTGATTTTTAGAAAATGTTATCATACAAAGGTGTACATAGTTGAATTTCAACTTAGGGTACCTGCCATATTTATTTCTCCAAATAAAATATTCAAAGGCAATGAAGTATTAGTAACAAAAAAAAAATATGTTTACTTTAATTGAGAAAATGCATGCAAACTACATTGTATGTATTCAATTACTTTATATCGGTTAATAATACTTAAATCTTTTTCAAATTGTATCAAATACTGTAGATTTTCATTTATGCTACTCTGCGACAAAGGGCAGATCATTCTATCATTATACAATTACCATAGAATTTAGAATTCTTCAGTGAGCAATGTTTAGAGCTTCCTTAATTCTCGCCGATTCACAATCGCTGTATATTTTCACTATACAAAACAAAGCTATTCTTCTTCACGTTCTGATCAATTTTTTGTCAAGAAACTGGTAGCAGGTCCTGCAGGCTGTATTGTGATGAAAACTGATTAAGGAAACCACTTCTCCTGTGGTATTGATCGCTTGAAAAGTAAAGTCCAAGTTATTACTGGTTACACTGTAAGAGTGCCAATTAAATCTTGTGGTTTTATAAATTTATCTATTTCGACGTATTTTAATATGCACATTTTAATATCATGACATTTTTTTCCACCTAAATACATGTAACTTAATTTTTGGAAAGTTTAGCTGAGAGGTGTGCACCCCCCCCCCCCAAAAAAAAAACACACACCTCGCAATCCGCCAGTGATAATAATAAAAAGAACAGCCACCCACATGACAGCTGACCAATGTGAAAGTCAGAGGTCAAGATTCATTTTCACATTGACGATGGTTTAGTAATAACTACAAATTCGAAATAAATTTACTGTGTCACTTTCCAAATGTCAAAAATAAAAAAAAAAAGATTTAATGTTTTTTTGCATGTCTCTATTCAGGAGCCAACGATTAATTGTTATACATGCATATATACAGTTTGGGGGGGGGGGGGTCCAAGAAGAGGTTTTATTAACTTTACTTCTGCATTCGCTAGTTCTCTAAAACATTGTTAAAAAACTACTATTATTCATGTTTCGACTGTACGAGTTCTGTATACATGTATATCTTATTCTAGATATTGATCTTGTTTTGAAAGAGCGTTGACAGATTTTTAAATATCTGTGACGGTTGGTCAAAGACCAACTGCTATATAGATCGACTTAAAAACATTGTGGCAAAATATGGGTCTCACCAAATATAAATAGAGTGATTGTCGTTCATCGTTTTTCTTACACACTTGTACATGTATGTATTTTATTTAAACATACGTCGATATCACAGTTGTGTAAATAATTTATTGAGATAATGTCTGAGGAGGCTTGACTGACTTTAAAGAAGCTGGAGAACCGTATACATACTTTCTGACTCAGTCTCCGATATGGGTCGATTATGTCTGTCTGTCTGTCATGTTTATTAAGGTCTTCCGTCTCCACGGAAGACCTTATAGTGATTCTATTGTTTCTTATTATTATTATTATTATTATTATTCTTTTTTTTTTAGACAAAATTTTGTGCACGCGATTTCTCGAAAACTATTCAATGAATTTCCTTGAAATTTTTAGGGATAAAAGGTCTTTATATGAATTTTATATAAAATTCCGTTTTTTGGTAAATTCGGTTCCAGTGCCAAGTTATGGACAATTTTCTGATTTTAAAATGAAATTTTGTCCGCGAGTGTTCTCAAGAATGGCTTAAGATATTAACTGGAGACTTGTTAGAGATGATAGAACATGATTTTTAGATTGGAGAGGGCACCTTTTCGTTCGTCGTCGGCACTTCCGGTCGCTTACGGAAGTGATCAAAGAAATCGTTAAATTTCAACTTTCCTTTTTTAAATCAATTCTTACATCACATTATTGCATCTCTTTTGTAGTTTTGAAATATGTTGGTCCCACCGGAAACAGAAACGCCAACTTCCGGTTATAAGAGAAAAACTACATAATTTGAGTATTTTTCTTTCCCATTAATATATTTTGTAGATAAAGTATTTGGAATGATTTTAAAATATGTTATTCAGACAGCAAATGTCTAGAGTAACCTTAAATATCTTTCAAAAATTCACTTCCGGTCGCCCGTTTTTCTGTCCTCAAAATGAAAAGTTGTCTGAGCAAGATCTCGGAAATGGTAAGAGATTAAGACACCAGACTTATATGAGCAACAGACCTTAAGATGTAGCCAAAATCACTTGGGTTCAGAGCGTCAGCCGTCACTTCCGGTTGTCACAGGAAGTGATCAAAGAAATCGAAAATTTCAACTTTTCTTTTTTTATTTAAAAATTGCATCACTTTATTGCATCTTTTTCGCAGATTCGAAAGATGTTAGTCCCACCGGAAACAAAAACGACAACTTCCGGTTATAAGAGAAAAACTACAAAATTTGAGAATTTTACTTTCCTATAAGTATTCTTTATAGATAACGTATTTGAAATGAATTTTAAATATGTTATTCAGACTGCAAAGGTCTAAAGTAACTTCAAATATCTTTCAAAAATTCACTTCCGGTCACGTGTTTTTCTGTCCTCAAAATGAATAATTGTCTGAACGAGATCTCAAAAACAGGTAAAAGATTAAAACACCAAATTTTTATGAGTAGCAGACCTTGAGGAGTAGGCAAAACCATTTTGGTTAAAAGCGTCCGTCGTAACTTCCGGTCGTCACAGGAAGTGATCAAAGAAATCAGAAAATTTAACTTTTCTTTTTTAAATTAAAGTTTGCATCACTTTATTGCATCTCTTTGCTGTTTTGAAATATGTTAGATTCCACCGGAATCAAAAACGTCAACTTCCGGTTTTAGGTGATAAACTACGTTATTTCGATATTTAACTTTCTCATAAATTTTGTTTATCGATAAAGTACTTGAAATGTTTTTATGCATTTTGTAGATACTGCAAATGTATAGAGAAACGCCAGAGATTTTTTTTTTTTATAAAATTAACTTCCAGTCACGTGTTTACCTGTCCTTAGAATTAGAATTTGTTCTCACAATATTCCTAGGCAACAGTAAATGACTGAAGTCTAAAGCTTTCAGAACTGATAGTCAGTCATCAGTGTATTTGAATCGCGAGGAAATCTTGTATCGCCGTTACATCCGGTCGTGACAGGAAGTGATGCAAAAAAGTGAATGGTTAATGGTTAGCACGTTGGATTTTCACGCTGACAACCAGGGTTAAATCTCCAGAGTGTCTGAATTTCTTTTATCACCTTTTCAGCTTGAATTTACGTTTTTATTTTCAAATTCGGACGGAAGACCTCTCATTGCTCGCAATGAGTTTCTAGTTATGTGTGTTTTTTTATTATAGGAAGATAACATAGTATATATAACTGCTTATTTCCAAACATTTTATTAATTATATAAATTCTTAGCTCTATACATTTCCTAAAACATCTTTTTTTTCCCTAATAGCACCCTGGATATTCTTTAACTTTCACCTTCCCTTAATTCTCATCTTCACCTTCTGGACCCCACTCCCCCCTCCCCCTTACTACATACCAGGACTGTATGAACTCTTCTGGACCCCCCTCCTCCCCCTGTCCCCCTTACTACATACCAGGACTGTATGAACTCCTCTGGACCCCCCTCCTGCCCCCCGTCCCCCTTACTATACATACCAGGACTGTATGAACTCCGAGATACAGACGGCTAAGACAAACCAGGGTACACCACAGAAAGGCAACGGGGAGGACTAAATATGGCGACATCTGAAAGAAATTACAAAACAATTTGTAAATTTACCGAAACTAAAAAAGACAGTTTAGAAGGTACATATTGTACAGAACTAGTCAACGGGAAAAGGGAATAAACAAGTTGCAAAAAAACCAAAAAAAAAAAAAAAAAAAAAAACCAAAAACAAAAAAAAAAAAAGCAAAACAAAACAAACAAACACAAAAAATTGTCAACATTTAACTCTTCTGCAATTCATCATGTGTAACTACAATTGCAACAGCACTGCAATGCATGGTGGATCGGATGGGGAGGGGGGTAGCCACTCCAAAAAATTCTGACTCAAGATTTTAAAAAAAAAGTGATAAACAGATCAACAAAGTACGTGTCAAACATGATAATTTTATTTTATTGGGGTGGGGGATTCACAAATCCCATGCTTTCCTGCACATTTATGACTATTTAGACCAGCATACTTGTGGCACGTTTTCAGTTGGGGGGGGTTCTTTCTTTGGTTAATTTGTTATAGAAATATAATACATGGAACTCTGAAAATCCAACAGGGCAGGAGGGCCCGAACCTTCCTGCGTGCCCCAACTAAATCCGCCTTTGCATCTGCATTTGTCGAATTCGCGGGCTTCTTCGACCGACGTATGCGAAATTTCCCCTGGCTGCTGGAAAAGCCCGAGAAATACCCAACCCCCCTTAAAAACTGAAAGGTAAACAGCTAAGAAATGGGTTATTAAATGCTAATTACTAATATTTTCGTTATACCCAGGTTTGCATGCGCAGATCTAGAGGTGAGGGCGGGGGGGGGGGGGGGCTTGGAATTTGCAGAGGTATTAAAAGTACATACTGAAGCAGATAAAAAAATGACTTTGGACCCCCCCCCCCCAGAAAACGTGGACCCCATCAACACCACCATGAAATAGGGGTTTTTCACGTTTGGAAAATGGATTTTACGTTGTTTTGTATGTGTGTGTGTGTGAGGGTGTGTGTGTGTGTGTTTTGTTTTGTTTTTGTTTTTGTTTTGTTTTGTTCTGTTCTGTTCTGTTTTGGTTTTTTTTTTCGTTTTTGTTTTTGTTTTTTTTTTTTTTGCTTGTCAAGAAATTTTCGGGTGTAGTACGTTTGGGAAGGGAATTAATTTTTTTTTTTTTTTTTTTTTTTTTTTTTTTTTTTTTTGCTTTCTGGATCCGCGTCTGGGTTTGTGATTTCTTTCATAAAATTTTGTTTTATTTTATTAATTTTTTTGAAAAACTTTTTGTTTGTGAAATAGATTGTGAAGAAGATGGATTACAGGTTTATACAATGTGATAATTAATCGACTACCATTAGGTATGCCACGTTCTATATCATGCAATCTTTGTGTAAGATTTGTCGAAAATTAAATATACATATCGAGATAATCTACAGAAATATATCCTAAATACCGACATAGCGTTTCTATTCAGTTTATTGATTGGTCTATACATTCTATTAAATTTTCATTATTCTATGACTGGGTTTTGAAGTTGTGTAGATTCTATATGTATACCAACTAATGAATAGTTCATTGTTAAAAATGATTTGAAGCAAGGTATTTAAATTCGGTTTAATTCTTCACTTCTCCATACAGAAGATCTACTAGCGATTGGAGAGATTTAAGATTTTAGTCAGGTACAGGGTTCATCAAGCGAGATATATCCGATACGACCAAAAAAAAAAAAAGGACTTCAAATTGGCTGTTCTTTCCAATGCAAAATTCAAAGTTTTAACACATTCATAAAAAATTGTTTACTTCAAATTTGTTTTAATGCTTAATGAATTATTCATAACTCGTTTAAAGCACGCTACAAATATGACAAATGCAGAAAATAACGTTTTCGCCCAAAAAAGGTACAGCTAGAGGGCTAATGAATTCGGGGGTGGGGATGGGTATATCGATTGTGGTTACTTGAGGATGAAGGTTATAGGGAGGGACGATGGGTATTGAGGGAGGGAGGGGGTGCTCATAGATGTTTCTTGAGATGTGAAAATTATATTTCTGGAAAAAAAAATACAAACCTCATATCTGGTTAGAAGATAATAAGCAAGCATAAAAGGGATGGCGGTGGCGGACGCAGCATGGGTGGACGGCATGGAGGATTCCTGGAGGAAATCAGTCTCTAGGCGGATCACAGGAGGAGAGGAGGGGCGTGGCCACCAGAAATAATCCTTGCCAGCCTGTCCGACATACATACACAAGCTCCACACGAGGGCAGTTCTTCGGATAAGAATGCTGTCCACATTCCACACACAATAAGGGTAAAAAAGCAAGTAAAATACCTCATTCCCGAGGGAGGAAGAGAACGAAAAGAGATAAAACAGTAGGGCGGATCCAAACTTTTCAGGCACCTTCACCCGGCATTTTGAACACCTGCTTGATTTTTGTAATTCCTGATTGTTATTTTCGTGATGTTTTCGGCATTCATCACAGTTTTGCACATTTCGGTAGGAAACTCCACAAAATTTTTGAAATCTGGCTGTTAAATTCGGGTTGTTTAATTTTTTCAGGACTTCCATGTTTGAAAATGCCTTAGCTGCTTAGTGCAAGGGTACGGATCGGCGTATTTGGCAATTTCCGACTTTATAAATATCGATGCTAATGTAAACAAAATCCACAACGTACGGCACGCTACGCTTGTATCACAGGTAAAACTTTAAATACCTGGTTTCCATTGAGAAAATAGAAATAAACAAACCGACAAATTGACGCATTTTCCACTCTACGATTATTTTAAATCCGCTCTCTCTCTCTCTCTCTCTCTCTCTCTGCCCCCAAAAAAGGTTTTTCAAAAAAATGAATCTGAAAAAGACATATGGAAAATTTTCCTTATGGGTCACATTTTTAACATGTACTCTTAGATATATAGAATGTGCATAGAAGTAATTCAGCAATAATCTATGGCATGAACTGTTTTAAGTTTTAAGAGCTTTTGTTAACAAATTACGTTTTACAATATGTTACATGTACAAAACATAAAGTAACCAAATTTGGAAACACGTAGATACATTCTGATTCATAAGGTTTCTGCATATGATAGCAGTTAGTAGTTATAGTTTTATTGACGGATCAATTTACAGGAGTCATTTTTCAAAGCATAAAATTCAAGTATGCAAATGTAAATTTTATGTCATATTGTCTCCTTTAAAATCACAAAGAACTTGGAGCCCCCAAACAAAGTTTGGGGAGGGGGTGGCTTTTTGCCTCTTTCCACTCATAAATAAATGGAAATTAAACGACCCATGAAATTTAAATGAAGTAAAAAAACAAGATTATTTTCTCTTCCTCTAAAAGAATCCCACGGCTTACAGGGCTCAAATCCGGACAGATCCCATTTGGAGGGGAAAAAGGGGGGTTCAGAACTTCAGAGTGTCTTCATTTCAATTTTGAGCGGAGCCCCCTTGTACTAAGATGTTCATTCAATTCGAAACATCGAAAATAGGCCATGGCAGTATTAATTTTTTTCAAAACAAACGAAGAGAATCCTGTTTTGGCATCTCAAGCTTTTACTTGGATCTGATTTGGGCCGTAAATTTTCTGGATCCGCCCCCGAGTTTAACCTGAGGAAACGAAGAGAGTCGGGTACATTAGATGTTATTACATTAAATTCCCTTTTTAATGAATTGTTGAAAATTATTCCCTTTGAATAACCTTTGAATAAATTTGTGTATGTCTTGGGGGAATGCGTTCTCTATGATTTAAATATTGTATAAAAAGAAACCAACACTAAAGTCCATATTAGGTTTAAAACAAATATAAAGACGTGTTACATGAAGCTTGATTAATAAACCTAGATTCTTAATCATTTGTACTTCCTTTTTGTGTGTGTTTTGTTATGTTTTTTTCTGCAGTAAAGTAAATAGTCAAATATACTGGCAGCTCCAGCTGTTCTGCATGTCATTGACATGTTCTCCGGAACCGAAGTAAGAAACATATTTCTAAATTTTCAGTAAATCACTTCTAACTGTTAAAAAAAATTAAAAGAATACGTGGTTTACTGAAGGTATACATCTTGTTTAACATACATGTATGTTCATTGTGAAAGTTAAGGCTGAAGGTCAAGGGCCCTTGAGTGAAGATCACAGACTTCGAGTGAAGGTCACAGACCCTCGAGTCATCTGAAAGGACACTGTGAGGGTTTATGCGTGTCAGATGAAAACAGGCATCCTAACTTAGTACCTTGTTCAAGGTATTCTGGCTGATACCCCCCCCCCCCCCACACACACACACATAAACATACACCTTCCTAGCAGATGACCAAGCACATCATCATGAAATCTATAAGAAAAAAGAAATGAAATCAGTAAGTTTGTATAATTTATTGACAAATGAAACTGTCATGTTTTCAAGATAAATATTCATGGACTCGTCAACAAAACATAGTATCAGTGGGAAAGCGATCTATTACATGCATAAATCATTTGCTTATACAACGTAAAATATAGAATATCTATGTTTATATTTATAAACATATGTAATAATTAAGTACATTCATCATCTTATGTAAATCTGTTCATAAATGACTGTGAAATTTGGGATTAAAATTGGACGGAAAAAATAAAAACACACAAAACAAGGGGTATAACTCATGTATGAATGAATTAACTATTAATGAATGAGACAATACTTAATAAATGATTTTTTTGAGAGAGAGAAATGAATGAATGAATGACAAAGAAAACAGAAATGACTTACCACTATACAATATGATTATGAAATTCATGAAAAGTTTTATAGATATTTTAAATGGAAAAAGAATGCACAATATCTTAATCTGACTTGAGTATGGAATCCCATGATAAAATATTTAGCACCCCCTCTTTTTCTCTGACACCATTTTCTTGTAAGTTTTATAGTTACTAATGGCAAATAATAAATAAATAAATTGCAACCTCAAATACTTGCATAAATTCAGAATATTACATAAAAAACCTCAACATAAATGCATGAAGTGTCATCACACATGCAGATCACTAACATAAAGAAATCTATATTATTTTGTCATAAGATAAAAACAATCAACAAAAATCAGTGAGAACTAAACCTGAACAGCAATATCAGTACATTATTTCATAATTAATAATTTTATTTTATATATATTAAACATATTAAATAATTTATTAATTTATCATAACATTATCAACAATAATTAAATTTCACAACATGCAACCTAGAAATAAAAATGGACGGTATATAAACCACAACAAAATAGGCAGGGAAAAATCCCAGGAACCAACACTGTTTACACCACACCGAGATTATAATTGTATACATAATAATAATTGTATACATAATCATTTAACAATGACCATTATATTATAAATACTAGGTATCTGCTGTGCATAAATATTTCTCTTTGAGAATCATTTGAATAAAACTAGGCAAATAGCCACCTCTACCTAAACTGCATCAATTTTTATTTTATAGAAATGGATACTTCACACTTCACACTAAATAATAGCTGGTCAATGTATATCCTATAGCACTTTTATGTGTGGGATTAAATTAGTCATGATAAACAATGTACACAATTAAAATAAATAATTTCAAACAAAAAGGTCTAAAATAAATTACCCTTCCCCTCCCCTCTTTCCCAATCCATGAATATTTCATGTGAATTTTTTTTTCTACTGAATTGTACAGAGACCCCTTGGTGAATTTTCAGTCAATTTAACACTAAACATACTTCCACAATTTCTTCTTGCTTGCCTAAAACTTAAATTATTTTTTATACTCATAATCAAAGTGGAAACAATTATGAAATCTCTTAATAGTACTGAAGAGATGAGATAAATACATGTAGATACTGGCAAACTCCAAACAAAATAAATACATCAAACATAGGGTGACCATGGACGGCTTACATGTAAAAATATAAATTTTGTGGAAAATAAATGAAATACAGATTTGGTTCAAAAATAAAAATGAATAAACATAAATAAGTGCCAATTTTTGGAGGGAATCATATAAAACGTAATGGAAAAAATATCAAAAACGATTTTTCATGAGGTGATTTTTTTCAAAATAAGGTGATGAAGCAATTGAATCCATTGATGGTGTACTATAAGATCTCAGCTCTGTTTGTGCCCTTCCAATAGCTACACCTGATATCTACGCAGAACTGAATGGAATGTGATTTTATAGGGAATAAAAATGTTCCCTGGAAATGCATGCTTTAACAAATCACCTTTGAGAAAAAAAATGGATGTAAATCACTAAATTCATAAAACATCAACAACATGTACATCGTCTTAAAAATGAAGACGTAAATTATTTCAACATAACTCCATAACAAATCTTAAACTTCTCTTTATAACTCAACAACTTCTGGAGGTTAAAATACCAACTATTTTGATTTGGTAATTATGAGAAAAACATTAATGCTGGTCAAAAGTTTTTTTTAAAAAAAACATTTTTGTTAATACAATCAAACATTTAAATCCAGAAGCTTGTGTTCCCCAGCAAATGATTACTGAAATGTATCCTTTACAATTGGTATACAGTTTATGTTAAATAATGTAAATTCTGTTCACCACTTCAGAAGGAAAAGATACAGATTACTGGTGTCTGGATTATTCAGGTTTGACTGTATATTGTTAATTTCACATTAAGTAGGAATTGGGGCAACATCTGTCCCTTTAGAACGACAAAATTCTCTTCTTTTTTTGTTTAATATGGCAGAATATGGAAGGAACTTCACTTGTATTAAACAATGGGTTGGAATGATCATGTAAATTCAAGGAATTCTTTAAAGGAATGATTTCTGAGGACTGATTCCTTGAGAAAGGAATAAAACAATGTAAAACATAACAACTCAATCCTCTCTGTTGATCTTCTAAGTAACAAAGGTCTAGGTATATTCCAACAATAACACAAAGATGAACTCCCACAGACAAAAGCTAAAACTAGCAGAATTTCTGATGCTCTCTCTGGCAACTTGATGAAAAGTTTATTTAGGTAATATTGGGCCCAAGGGTGGTGTTCTGCCCCGGGCACTGGGCAAACTGCTATAGTAGCCACAGTCACTAAGAATGCCTTCTATGTAGGTCTGCATTTGTTCATAAGTAATTCCTGCTTCTTTAAAATCAGGATCAAACTGATGGTTCACTGGGGAAAAAAAGGTGAAATAATTTTACTAAAAAACTAATTTACAACACAATTAACTTTAATGAAATTTGTTCAGGAATATGAGTGATAAAAGTAATTTTACAGTTATCTTTTAAAGAAATAAATATGTACCTGTATTATCGTCTGGAGTGGTCTCCCCTTCTACAGAGCTTGCAGAGCTAACTTGCTTACTCTCTACTGGCCCTAGGTTCATGTCAATTATCTCCCTTGATCCAGACATCAACTGTGAAAACATTTAAATATATCACAAGTTTGTTCATATTCCTGTAATTATCAATAATACATGTATGTCTTAAGAATATATCAGCTGCACTTGCATTTTAACATTTCCACAAATAATTCTATACATATATAAGTTAGATAATGAGTAGATTTTTCATAAATCTGACAGAAAAAAAACTCCCTATTTTTTAACATTTCAGAATACTGTAAAAATATATATTTTTGTGAGGTCAAAATTTTGAGGTTTGAGCAGAAATTATTGGTTTGTGGAAATTTGATTTTGTGGTTCCAGAAATGTTGTGTAGTTATGCATATGAAATTTTACATTTTGTGGTGGACATAAATTCATGGGTCTCTTCATACTCAAAACAATGAAAATTACCCCCCCCCCCCCCCCCAAAAAAAAAAAATGTGTTTTCATTGTAAGCAAAAAGATTAATGAAAATTTTACATTAAATTTGTTAATTATCCCCTGAACCATTACCTTTTTGACCTCTGTCTTCAGATTGAGGCTGTTGCTATCCGTAGCAAACAGTGCCCTTTTGAACTTCTCCACCAGTCTGCGTTTAGGGTGTGGATCCAGTGTGGGTGGAAGCTGACAGATATACAGGATTTTGTGGAGCTGATTCATCATCTGCTGAATCGGGTCGCTGATCTGACGGACTTTACGCTGGGATATTGTCACAGTCGGGGTGTTAGCACTGTCTGCAAAACACAAAATAAATTATAAAATAACATTGCTATATATTAATATATGCAATATGTATATTCTTTCTCTTTTGACAAATGAAGGTTTTTTTTTTTTGTAAATACATAAGATTCCCATTACTATCAACTTCCTTCTTCAATATACCACTCCCAGTTATTACTTGCTTCTACCCTATTTTCAAAAATCAGTTATGTTCTGAGACAAAGACTTCATTTCCAAAAGGCTGGCAATAGTATAAATTACTGTTATTAAAATACTTACTGGGTCTCTTGGTTTTCTTCTTGTTTCTGACCACAGATTGAGGGGCAGGCAGGCTGTTAGAGCGATGGTAGTCCCGAGCTGTCAAACTCTGCTCGTGGCCGTTGATGAGCAGATCAGAGGAACTCGAAGCCGATGTCAGATTACTAGGGGATGGATCTCCTGAACTGTATCCTGAGTCACGAATCGTCCGAGCTATAGAAAGAGAACAAAGAAGTCAAAAAAAATTCCTCAATGTAAAGTGTACATGTATCTTTATTAGTACTACTATGATTCAATGGATTTAAACTCAAACTGATATATTTTTTCAATGCAATATTTATTAGAAGATTTACATATACTTGAACATAAAAGATTAGATAAATCTGCTTCTGAACTCACAGTGGCCATTAGGAATGTCAAGACTGAGAGGTGACAGTGTGAACGTTGACCGCTTGGGTCTGCGCTCGGCCCGTCTTGTCTTCGGGGTGTGGGGAGGTCGAGGGATGGAGGGGAGGCGTCTGGTCCCCCGGGTACTGCCAGCACTGCTCTCCCTGCTCTCACACTCACTACTGGGGCAGCTTTCATCCTCCTCATCAGAAGACAGACCTGTAATACATGTATACACATTGTCAGTAAGGCTTTAAATGGCAGAGTGAAGTGAATAGAGCAAAAATTAAAGTTTGACAGCACTTAAGAAATTTCAGCAGCTTAACAGACCAAGTCCTGTAAAATTTCATTAGGACTCTCCCATGCAAAACTGGTTATTAAGAAAACTTCTTTTATTACAAGAATACACAGAATGGAATTCAGACAACAACATAAATTTTAGAAGTTTCCTTTTATAATTTTTCCTACCTCCTGAAGAGAGGGACTCAGACTGTAAGGCTCGTGTGAACTCAACCTCCACTAGACTGGGGTCAATAATGTCCCCGTCTTTCAAGGCCACCGCCCCGCCACTACCAGCCAGGTTGGCCAAGCGGTCATACTTCTCCTGGGAAATCTGGAAGAGCTGATGGTACTTCTGCATGTTTTGGTTGGCCTCAAAGTAATGTCTGGAAATCAGAGAGTTTGATCATGATTATAGTAAGTGGTACACGTATTTGGGCCAGTGTGTCTGAATTTACAGTAGTCAATTTGAAAGGCACACATTTTCATAATCAACATTTATATCATTATAGTTCTCTATTTTTCATCTACTACATTTTGAATTCCCTGTTCACCTGCTTAATTTCTCGAACCCTTGATGCAAAAATATAAAACGAAAATAAAAATTCTGTGAACTAGACTGAATTTAGTGTCATATGAATGAGCAGATAAATATATGGTTCCTGTAAACAGTATTTTAAGCTATGTGAATATTGCGAGCTATATGCTACGTGTATATTGGTCAGACTTAGTCTATATTTTACCTTTGTGATTTCTTTTGTTCCTTCTCTAGCTTTTTCTCAAGTGTGATCTGATTAATCCTGAGGTTGTCCACATGCACCAGGAGTTTGTCAGCGATCTGCGACGCCAGCTGAACTGTATCTGGACGATCATCCACAGATTTGCATATACAGCTGAAAAACACAGGACAGTAGGATGTAAAATAAAAATCAGCTTTCCTGTTTATATCGTTCTAATACAATGCACTTATTTTAGTGGTAATCATAGTTTTGCACCTTTCTCGTTGCTTGTTTTTGGCTAATTTAAGAATATGCTTATATATTATTAAATAATATACATGTACATAAAGAAAAATATACAAAAGAAGCTTGGCTCCAAATGCGTTCATCTATGATTGTATCGATCAATTGATAAGGAAGATTTGCCAAGCTTGAGTGCCCTAATTTATATACGATTACAGAATTGGGTTCCATAACTTTAAAACATGTATATTTTGTTAATACTGTATCTGTAATGCTGTACAATACTTTAGAACTACTTGACATATTTTTTTTTTGATTATTGATCTCTGATGTATACCTCCTGACAGTCTGGATGATTCTGTCTGAGTAAGCACCCTCTGGAATAGCTGTATATTCCGCATTCACAATCTGTAACACAAACATTTCTATTTCAATCTCCCCATAATACTTCTAACTTCATGATAATTTTTGACAATAATTTTGCACAGCATTACATAATGATTGTGTAGTAATTACTTGATACATCTTTAATTGCAGAATTGATGTGTTTTTTTATGCCTTTCTCTAAATGAAATCATATGGATATATTTCCTAAAGATGTCCCTCACCTTGTTAACAAGCACCAACATATTGTCACTGAAGAATGGGGGCTGTAGTGTACACATCTGATACAGAATACAGCCCAGGGCCCAGACGTCAGCCTTCTCTCCGTACGGGAAATTCTGTACTATCTCTGGACTGTGTCAATAGAAAAAAAAAAACAACTTTGTAATATAAGGGGCCATCAGAGCTCTCAGACAATCAAGTTTTAAATAGTTCTTGAAAGTTTAGGAGTCGAATCTTTCTCTAGGCCAAAAGTTTCCTATCTCTTACTAATAAATGTATCCATGCAGAACAAAAATATATCTACTAGATCATAAGTAAAACAGTTTTAATTACACCTATCCTGTATATTTGTAATAATTCTCATTTTACGGAATCTAAAATAATGTGAAGTCAGCAAAGGACAGTCCTTACCATCAATAGAGAATAATGCCTACTTCTTACCACCAATGAAAAATAGTGCTAAGTATTTACAACCAATAGAGAATGGTACTCAATATTTATCACCAATAGAGAATGGTGCCCACTACTTATGACTTATAGAGAATATGGTGCCTACTACTTACCACCAATAGAGAATGGTGCCCACTACTTATGACTAATAGAGAATATGGTGCCTACTACTTACCACCTATAGAGAATGGTGCCCACTACTTATGACTTATAGAGAATATGGTGCCTACTACTTACCACCAATAGAGAATGGTGCCCACTACTTATGACTTATAGAGAATATGGTGCCTACTACTTACCACCAATAGAGAATGGTGCCCACTACTTATGACTTATAGAGAATATGGTGCCTACTACTTACCACCAATAGAGAATGGTGCCCACTACTTATGACTTATAGAGAATATGGTGCCTACTACTTACCACCAATAGAGAATGGTGCCCACTACTTATGACTAATAGAGAATATGGTGCCCACTACTTACCACCAATAGAGAATGGTGCCCACTACTGACGTCATCTTACTGCAGTCACTTCTCTTCTGTTTGGCTAGGCCAAAATCAGCTGGAAATATAAAGTCCATTATTGGTACATTGTATCTCAACATTCACTAAAGCATTGCAAGATAATTCCTTATTGACTGTGATTTCTGTTTCTATGAAAAAGTTTTAAATGATTTAAATTTTCAGCTTTCAAGGTCAAAAAAAAAAAAACGATTAAGATTAAGAGTAATAAACCCCAGAGCAGGAGGAGATAACTCTGAATAAAGCCTAAACCAGATGGAGATAAAATTAAGTTGGATGAAATGTGAATAAAGCCTAGATCAGGAGGAGGTAACTCCTGACTTACTAGCTATCAGGAGGATGTAACTCCTGACTTACTATATACATCAGGAGGAGATATCTCCTGACTTACTATATATGAGGAGGAGGTAATGCCCCGACTCACTATTCATCAGGAGGATATAACTCCTGACTTACTATATATCAGGAGGAGATAACCGCTGACTTACTGATAGTGACTTTGTCATCCTCTCCTAACATGATGTTGTTAGGGGTCAGGTCTCTATGAAGGATCCCCTTCTCTTTATGTAGGTATCTCAGTGCCAGCACCAACTATCAAAAGTAGAACAAATAAAGATTGAAATTTAACCACCTGCCCTCATCTTTTAAAATTATTATACAATAGCATTTAATTTGTAGAGAAAGAAAATATTGATGGTTTTAGTCTTTGCTTTTAGATCTGAAAAAAATATTTATGGCTTCTTTTCAATAAAAAGAGCATATAATGCCATGGAGTTATTGTTTTGTGATTTTGTATTTTTTATAGTACTGGGAAACAACAAAATTTTGAGTACATGCATTACCAGAATTCTGCAATACTGCACTGTATTGAGACAAGCATGGTATTATTAGTTAATTTGTTAAAGTGAAAAATACAAAAAGACCCCCCCCCCCCCCCCCTTGTACATCTATATGAAATATATGTATCTTGTATTCAAACACTAACCTGCATAAAAATGTTCCATATCCTATCCTCTGGAAACTTCATGTTCTTTTCCTTCAGTGAATTGAAGTGTTCCCCTAATGGGGCCCCTTCTATCAGTTCCATCACAATATACAATTTTTCTTCTAAAAGAGGGAGAAAAAATATATAGAATAATAATAAATATATATTATATATATATATACCAATTAACAATATTTGGGATTTTTCTAGCATAAACCATTTATTTGTACAAGAAAACTGTACTTAAATATATCTGGTTTATTACTTCAAAAATTTATCCACCCCAAGATTGTATGTACAAGTTGTTTTTGTCAACTAAAGCTATGGTTACATATATATATATATATTATTTCAAATTTTTTTTACCTTGTACAAATGTTTTATAGTAACGGACGATATTAGGGTGTTTCATCTGTTTCCGAATTATGGCGATTTCATTGATTATCTCCCCTACACTTTGATTTCGTTCCTGTGAATTCCGACCAAAGGCAGGCGACTCATAATTTATCTGTAAAAACAATTTTACAAATTAAGCAGTCTTAAATTGTTACTTTTAAAAGTCAGCATAGCAGCTTAGATCCCTTCAACATACTTTAATTTGGAAACATTCAGCTTTTAGATTTTCTCCAATATTTTGGACATTAAATTAAGGTGTTTCAATTTGACAAATTAGCCAATATTGAAAATAGAAATGCTGCATTCACTGATTAAACCTAGAAATTGACCTTACTTAAGCTAAATGTACAGAATATACACGTATCATTTTTCTTCATTTGTAGTGAGATGATTTTCTTGGAGGTTGACTTGACCTACTTTAAGGTTACCCTAACTTTAAGTACTCACCTCTTTCATGGCTAAGAAGGTCTGACCAGCAGTCCCCTTACACACTTTATATACAGATCCAAAAGCACCTTTCCCTAACAATTCGAACACAGAGTAGTCTCCAATATGGCGAGTTGGAGATCGGTTTAGATTTGTTTCCTGGATGTTAACCAGAATTTCCTCCACCACCTCAGCCTGTCAATATTATCACATTTTTAAATAAAAATTAAACCATCAATGTAAAACATTGTCAAATGTAAGTAGAAGTTCACTTTTCTTCATTTTCTTGTAATTCATGAACAAGTCAAAGCAAATTTTATTACATGATCTTATGCTTGAAGGGTAAATTTATGTAAGCAATTGCGTTAAAGCTAACACTCATTTTGGGGACAAATTTTTGTGGTTTACATGGTTGATTATTTCTTGGGGATTTGATTTCATGGTTGAAGTGTTCATTTATAACAAAGCTGGAATTTTACATTTCAAATGAATTAGTGTGTTTCTGCATAACACAAAAACATCAAAAATTAAACCCCACACGAAATTTCGTGATTTCAAAGTACATTTTTACCAGTGAAAAATTTACAATCAAGAAACTTACAGTCAAGCCATTAATTTTTTCCACCAGTGGCTTGTATTCATTCAAATCTTGTTTATAGTGACCAATGTTAATAAACATTTCAAATAAATCCACAGGAAATAATCGCTTAAACAGACGTCGATTTCTCTCCATACTGAACAAAAAACGAAGAGCACGAAAACTGTATTTCTGCAGACTTTTACAAAGTTTTGTTTCTTCAGGTGAGCACTTTTCACACGGGGGTAAAATTAAACATCCCAGGGTATAAATCCCGTTTGACTGAACAATTTGTTGTGCATTAGCATCGTTCATGACAAGTTCTGTTAACGCCGTACAGCATGCTGTAAAAGAGGAAATTTCTCAAAATATACACTCTGTATGAGTCCCAGGTCAAACCAATTTATACAGTAGTAAAACAATGCCTGCGAAATTTTGACACTTGGTTTTTATACTTAGAGAAGAGATATTACACATAAGTATATCACATACCACATTTCACTTGATATTTTTGATCCATGAGTTCCTCAGCCTATTAAAAGAGAAAAAATTGTAAAATATTTTTGTCTGTGATTGAAATCAAAATTTGTCTATAATAATTAGGCTTGAAAGCGGCAGAATTATTATTATAATTACCTACATCCCTAAATTTAGAGGAAAATATATACATGTATTATAGAATGCTGAAAAAAATTACTTTTTTTCAACATTAATTCCAACAAGTTATAGGGAATACAATGTAACACCTTTCATTAAGTATAATAGTAATGATAGGTGAAAAACATAATTGCAGAGAAATGCAAACTGTCTGCAGAATCAATGAGATGGCTTGGTTATAAATGGTACCACCACAATTTCTCTTGAAACAGAGCCAGTGTACTGATCATTCAAAACCATGCAACACTCTAGAGGAGTTACAAATGTCATTGCTATGGAGATGCATGAAAGTGTTAGGAATGCAGAACAAAGAACTTTTATGAAGACATCACCATGAATGAGCTTTATTTTAATGGACTGAATGAATGGAAAGCAAAGTGATTAATGTTCGCTGGCAAAGTGTCATGCATGATTTTGATCACTGCAAAGCAGGCAAAAGGTCAAGGCTAAATTCACCTGTCTGCCTGATGATTTCTCATTGGCTGCCATAACATGATCGAATACTATCTGTCAGATTTCAGAAAAAAGATAACATGATATTTTTCTTCACTTACACAGCAAAGGGAGTTTTTTTTGTTTATTAATTTGTATTCAAGTAAATATTGAGTATTATCATTTCTTTTCAAATTGGTATAAAATATACTGGAGATAAATTCTTACATCTTCCATGGCTGATCTGCCATGTGGTCCAGCACTCGCTGCTCCACAACCATTCTCACTTCGCTCCGTCATGAAATTTCTGTCATTCCTATAATCAATGCAAATTTCCTTGATTTAAATCATAGAGATTTTCTACAGACTTTAAGAGTTATTTCCCTTATTCCTATAATGAATCAACATTTGCCATAATTCCTTTACATTTTCAAAATTCATACTACCATGCTTATAATCTAAAGGCAACTTCTTTTTTTCAATAAGCATGCAATCCCACTAAGATCTCTAATCTTATTTACAATCTGGATATCTTATGGATATTTTTGTAGTAAAATACCCACTTTCTGAATAGAGACTTTATCGTAGAAATCCCAATGAAATCTCTAACTTTATCTACAATATGGATATTCTTTTTAACCTCATCAACAGTATGGATATTAAATCCTAACCCCATTCACATATTTCCAGTATATGACTGACCTCAGTAGAGATAGAATTGTGGGTATCCCTCCCATTTGCCGAATCTCTTTATTGGCCTCGGGGTAAGTACACATGTGGATTAAACACTGGATAACAGGGAGGAGAAGATTCACATTATCAAAGTGTAACTGACTCAGAAGAATGGGGATGCCTTGGTGCTCCTGCACCAATTCCTGACACGAGCGTTCATGACAAAGTCTCTGAAGAAGCTTGGCCGCCAGTCTACAAAGTCAAACACATACTCTTGATGTATTTAGAAAATGTGAATTCTCAACTCAAATCATTTCGGAAAATCTTGAAATCAGAATCAAAAGATATATTACTGCTTTAAAACAAAATTTTGTGACCTACTTTTTGGACAAACTGTCATAGTCCTTTATAATTTCCAGCAAATCTTCAGCACAATTTCTCTCTGCAATCAGCTTCCTGGCTTCTGGGCTGTGAAACAACATCAAATTATTCCTTAAAGTCTGAATACCAGCTTTTCTTAAAGTTTAATGTTATTTCATAAACTTATGCTCCTTTGAAACATTCACACTGTGATTTTGATTTTTAAATCATGTAAAATTACCATTGAGCTAAGGCAAGAAGAGCATGTAGAGCACAGTGGAGTGCAATAAGGTCATCGCCATGGCCGCGTAGCAAAAGAAGGAGTCCCTCATGAACTTTACACTCAATCAGCCATTCTCTCTGTGTCTCATTCACAGCAGCAAACTTCTGGAAAATGTCTAAAAGCAGACAAGACCATAACTCAAGAGAAGTCAGCCAAATAAGAAAATGTTATGATTTGGTGTTGGGAGCATTGTATAAATATTTTGTAATTGGGAATTACATGTACCACAGATTATGAAGGACTTTTGAAATTGAGAACTTACTTGACATTTCCTTCAGTATATCCACTAGATAAGGTGAGTCTCCATAGAGTAGGTAGCTCTTGGTTGCTTTGGTGAACAGCTGAAACACGGAAATAAATAAAGTTAGTGAAACAAGCTACAGTTGTGCTAATATTACATCAAAGTCTGTAGCATAGTAAAAATTCCCAAGCAGAGGAAATTAAATGGCAATTGAAACCTCTAAGCAAAGAAAAAATGAAAAGGGAAATACTCAGGTCTAAGTATTAGTAAAATAATAATACTAAAAAACTTCAAATTGAAACAAAAAAAGATAAGACCGCAAATCATAAATGTAGTTTGGAAGATTGTAAGATTAGAAAGACAGAATTTCAAATAGGCCATTTTGGCTTTTAATGCCTTAAATTAAATAAGAAACTAATGGTGAAGACATACGTATGTTTATATACCTCTGTGGGAACTTGTAAAGTTTGTTTTATTTTTATATACCTCTGTGAGGACTTGAAGTCCACTTAGAGAGTAGAAGACCTTCTGGTATTCCGGATCTCTCATCAGGATCCGGAGGCAGGTCACCAATCGAAGGACATTCTCTGGAGGAGCAGAGGTGATCCAGTCCCTGAGAATTATAGAGATTAAATGTAATCCAGGTACAGTCATAAGGGTACCAAAAGTCTATTTATAAAGGTAATCCAGGTGCAGTCATAAAAGTACCACGAATCTATCTACATAGGTAATCCAGGTACAACAAATATACATTTCTAAAGGTGATCCACATACAGTCATATGGTACAACAAATCTATTCATACAGTTGAACCTCGCTATCTCGAATACTATGGATATGTGGGAGTGATTTTGAAGTCCTAAGTGCTTAATTCTTACGTGTTTTACCCTTGATATCTCAAAATTCTCAGATATCTCAAAGTATTTTCTTGATCCCGTAAAGTTCGAGATAACGAGATTTGACTGTATTTATGTACTCCACATACAGATATAAACACAATTTATCTATTATAAAAGTAATCCAGGTAAGGATATAATGGTACAACAGACATATTTAAATAGGTAATCCATGTACACATGTATACATGTACAACAGATCTACATATTTACCAGCACAGTTAATCTGTATGCTTAGCTTTTAGACTTGAGTACAATTTTCTTTTAAATGCAGGTATATGTGTACTTACACACAACATACTCTCTGTTTGATCAGTGCTGAGAAAACTTCTGAAAATTTTTCATGAAGGGGATGATTCACAAACTGTCTTTGGGACTGGTACTTTAAGCTAAAATAGAATTGTCATTGTTTTAAAAGGCCATTTTATAAAAGATAAAAAAAATTACTATAATTCAGCTCATGTTAAATTCAACTTAGATTTGAAGATTTTGCAGTATTTTTAAAAAGTTTTTCACTCACTGAAAGAATTTACACTCCAATAAAGTAGAATAGTACTTAACACGCACTGCAGATATAAGATTATTGTTTTGATTTTTTTTTGTTTCTGTTGACTTACTTGAACTTTTCTAGGACTAGACTTTCGGTTGACTGCTGTTGCTTAACTTAATCCTTGATCTTTTCTAGGACTAGACTCTCAGTTGAATGACGTTGTTCAACTTACTTGAACTTTTCTAAGACTAGACTTTCGGTTGACTGCTGTTGCTTAACTTACTTGAACTTTTCTAGGACTAGACTTTCGGTTGACTGCTGTTTCTTAACTTAATCCTTGATCTTTTCTAGGACTAGACTCTCAGTTGAATGACGTTGTTTAACTTACTTGAACTTTTCTAAGACTAGACTTTCGGTTGACTGCTGTTGCTTAACTTACTTGAACTTTTCTAGGACTAGACTTTCGGTTGACTGCTGCTGGTGTTGGACGCTCCTGCCCTGGGGACACGGCCATTGTTGATGGCCGACATTTACAGTTTTCTTTGAGGATATGGATGGAAGCTAAATAAATGAAACAAATAGCATGTTGAATAGCATGAAATATTAAGAAAAAAAATTCACATTGTTTTTTGTTTTTTTTATTCTCACATCTCATATACTTGCTCAAATAAATCAAAAAAAAAAAATTAAACACAATTAACTGCTTTTGTTGAAAAATATGAATGAACAAGTAGCTCTGGGTTTATGTGCATGAGTAAAATTTAAATAGGAACATGCACTGATGAACTGTAAATTTGTAGATATTGGGTTTTTTTCCCATTGTGTTTATTTTTTTATAAGCAGTAAATTGAGAGAAATTGTGAATTTAATATCTAAACTCTTTGTGGTGTAATGCTTGCACTTTTTGAACTAAAAAAAAATCAAATTGGTCAATCAACTTTAAATTCTGGGCCATAAAACTCATTCATCCCTTTTTCCATTGCAATGTCATTCTGACAAGTTAAGTCTTGAAAAGAAAAACTTGAAAAAGTTGTGCAATACTTAAAGCATTCAACCCATTTAGGAAATTCCCAGGTATACAAAAACTATTGAAAAAAAGTTTTGACAGTGAGATTGGCCCTAAGAAAAACAGACCTATGTTCACCTCGACACTTCAATTAAAGGGTTTAATCTCTCAGAGTACATACAGACACTGCTTTAACACTATCAGTCATAAAATCCTTCAGGGTCTTAGACATATACATTGTAAATACTTCCCACCTTGATTTATGATGTGGATATATCGATGACAAGACAGAAATATTGGGGTATCATATACAGAATATCAATACATGTATTGATCATCTTAGCTTCTTTAATGCACACACTGTGTTCAAATGAGAATTTAAGACTGGCAATTGAACATACATGTATTAATCTAGAAAAATTTGTATATTTTTTCACCCTTTCTTTGGTTAATAATAGAAAAAGGTTTGATAACTTATTCCCTAACTAGTACGTAGATACTCTTAAGCCTCCAGCTGTATATTTCAATCATCAGTCTGTCACATCCAGGGTATGCTTGGATAAGAGGTCCATTTATATACTGACAATTTAATGTAACTCACTAAAGCCTATATAAGTCATATGACAATTACTTCCACCTCTACACACTACTAATCTGTTTTTTTTTGTTTTTTTTTTTTTGGTAAAATGGAGCACTGAGAAGTGAAACACTGAGAGAATTAAGCATTAAAGCATTGAGGAGTTAGAATATTGAGTGGAGATTTAAGAAATTATGATACCGAGTGGATCGAGTACTGAGGAGATAGAATACTGAGGAAGCATTGAGGAGAATAAGTTAGAATACTGATGAAGCATTGAGGAGAATATGAAGCATTGAGGAGATTAAGTTAAATATCGTACTAACCTGTTGTTTGTTAAGTGGAGCATTTAGGAGTTGGAGAAGCTGTCTAAGTCTTTTGCAGTCACTGAAAAATATAATATATCCCAGTCATTTCTGGTCAATCATGGTTTAGAATTAAGTATGTAAATAATAATTATATATGTATAAGCTTAATAAAACCTCAACTCATCAACTTGTTTGAGGTATAGTAATTCAATCTGTATATGTATAATGCTTGAATATTTAAGGGGGAAGGGTATTATTGATATAGATATTTGGAATGCTACTAATTCATACTTTACATGAATTTCTGTTCAGGGTTTGTGTATTCCAAAGTGAAATACTGAGTTCAATAAATATATTCAACTGAAAATTTTGTTTCTATAATACTTCTTTCATAAACAGCTTGATATGACAAAAACTGGCTCTTTTTCAGCTCTCTCTACATCACAAACATAATTATATACACATTTTAAAAAAATATTGATCTATACCAGTTTTTTTTCTTCTGATGCCTAAAAGCAAGCTGTACATAAAAATTAAGCATCTCCCATTCAGAGAGTCAATTAATCACTTTGTAATCAGAGCCCCCCTGGTGAGAAATTCAACCGGATCTAAAAAAATCCCCACAATTAGCCATTGACACAGTCTACTTAAAGGGTATGTATATATACCACCCCCATATTGTGGGAGGGAGTAATTCTTTTATCTATTCAATTATGCCTCATTGTGCAAACAGGATTTTATCAAAATATTTAAATCCTCTATATAATATCTCACATACAAGTTCCAAATAAAAGTTTTAGGTTACAGCTGTTCCATCTACTTTTAATACAAAGTTATAAATAAGAAATAAAGCTATCTTTATGTCATTTGAATGCAAGTTCTTAGCTTGTGGAGAACTTTAAGGTCATTGAAATCTATTATTCTGAATATAATCATGAAAGTAAACGTAATTCTGTAGAGTGTATATATATAAGATCTAAACTTAAAAAAAAAGTTGAATTTATAATTAAAATAGACATCCATCATGATATTTTTAAAAAGTAAAATTCAAGGAAATTTTTTTCCGGACCAAGTTGTCTACAAAAACATTCATGCAGTCCCTTATTTCCTTTCCCGTTTTTCATTTAATTATCAGTATACACCTAACGATGGGAATGACCTCAGTTTACAACACCAAATCAGGCCGAACCTTTTTTTAATTAATCATTCACTCTCAACTCCTAATGAAAAGCTATCACACGGTTTCTAAATTCCAATCTTTACCAGCCTCAGCCAATTCCATGATAAATCAATTACCAACAATGGACTTCTCATTCAAAGAAAAAAACCTATAAATGGCTAACACATCCAGCATACAATATATACCCGTAACTGCATTAGTGGTTAGTCAATTAGTGATATTTCCCTTAATTGATTATTGATAAATGTCTGTCAGGACATATTTATAGGTAAAAACCTTAATGACTTTTGTATATCACTCCCATGCCTGGCTGCTAATCCAATCTCCTATATTGGTCAAGCCTGCATTTATAATTCATTGTGCCTACCTTGCCATAATATTAGCAGGTAATCAGAATGTGTGTACAAATATACCTGGTTTGTAAGCGCTGTAAGAAGATTACCAAAATTAGCTGTGAGCCTTTTCTGAACTGTTGTAAGAATGGTTCATAATTAAAGTTGCCTAATTCATAGCTTTATTAGCAGGTGTTTATATTCCAGTACATGTCGAAAATACAACACACGAGATTATATCTACATGTTTAATATATTAGAAGTATAAATTACCTACAACAATAGAGGGATTTTATATATGTAACTATAAGTTTATCTATTTATAAAATATTCCACCATCACTTTAATGAATGTACTGCATATTAAATAAATTAACACATGCAATGTGTTTAATCTCAATAGTTAATTCAAATTCTAGCAGAGAATTTGATTAAAAAAAAAATCTATTTGATCAGTTTTTTTTTATCATTTTATCAGCTTAAATTGTACAATATCAATAATCATGCAGTTTGTAAAGACAGCAGTTCATGTGTTTCATTTAATATTTATTACATTTCAAGATAATTAAGTTAAAATTATTGGTTACTAAAACATGCAATTTGTAAAAAGCACACAGAACAATACCTGCATGTATGTCATATATATGTTTCGAGATAAAAAAGCACACCAAGATTAGGTGTATACAGTGCACGATTCCAAATATACTGTACATACATGGACTGTCAACATGTGACAGTAAGCTCATAATCATTTTTTTTTTTGCATAGTAAAGAGAGAGGACTGACCAAGTTTGTAAATGCATAAAAAAATATAATTAATTTGTATGATTCTGAATTTAAATATGATTCTTACTTTAATCATACTTTAGTTAACCTTTACAATAAATTATGTTATAGGGCTAGTCTACATTTAGATGACATTTAGTCTTTTTAAAATTTACTCATTTGTAGCAATCAACAATCCTTTCATTTCATCAGATTACATAAATGCTAATTTGTAAATTAATGTAAAATTTATTTAAATACAATACTATTTTCAAAACATATTTGAGACGTCTATCTCTTGCTGTTAACGTTGAGTTTTATCTGAAATATTTTAATCCTATTTCGACATTTGACAATGTTTGAATTGGGCTCTGTACAAATACACTGAAACATACGATTCTAATCAGCTGTTCGGCCTATTGAATTTCAGTTCATGACCTTCTTGAAATGACTGTGTAAGTAAGTAACACAATATTTAAAAGAATTGATAATTAAGCACAATTGTTTGCACTCTGTTCATGCAGGGTGCAATGTATACTTCAAATGATCTGATATTTCTGCGCTACTCAATAGCTTTTCCAATTAAATTGATCAAAAAGGAGAAGTGTTCGTGACCAAAACTGTTTTAACTGTCCTCTTTGACTGGAACATTATACCAGGCTGATAAGAAAGTAAAGTCTATTTTAGGAAAAAATACATAAATGCAGTACTATTGAAAATATATTTGTGGTTACTACAAACGGATATATTGTACACAACACTATTTTCAGTTCAGGAAGTATTCCAAAAATAGTTCAGAATATAGAACTTCCATTTGTAGAGGATATTCTCTGTTGTTCATGCAGGGTCAAGATTGTTAGAATAATCTAACTGTGTCTCTTGAGTCGACAAGCCCTCACCAATGGGTCTGAAGGACAATATAATTTTAATGACAGAACATTCTATCTAGGGTCATGGATATAGGCAGGACTTAAACAATTCCTTTTAGTTGTAAATGACAATATTCAAAAAATTCACCAAACCAATGCTGACCAGGAAAAAAAAAATAAATGAATACTTTTACCTATTAAAGTTCTACCCTTTGACCTGTTATATTGACAAAGGTCATGACACACCACAAAATGATCAAGGTTTCATTTTTTTTTTATACCCTGATACAAAAGACCTGTAATTTCTAAAAATAAAACATGTTTGGAAATATCAACTGATCAAAGAGTTAAGTTTTGTCTGCCTACTTTAAACTTATCGATCTTCAAGCCTAAATTCCTTACCAAACTCTTACATATCCATATACAGTAAAAACTGTATAATCTGTCACCTGTGTAATCTAGATACAGTAAAAACTGTATAATCTGTCACCTGTGTAATTTAGATACAGTAAAAACTGTATAATCTGTCATCTGTGTAATCTAGATACAGTAAAAACTGTATAATCTGTCACCTGTGTAATCCGTTTTACTGTGAATTTTTACCTTCATTTTCATTCCATCTTAATTAACTATTTTCCGTGCAAGTTCTGCACACTTAGCTGTGCAGTCCTATACCCTGTCTATTCTGACCAAGTTTTGTCTCAGTGCATGTTGGATGATACAGGTTTCACTGTATTACACATTCCATGGGAGAAACTTATAGCTTTATTCAAACAGTTCAGACGACATTTAAAGAGTAGATTACAAGAAATTAAAATGCAAATCACACATAAATAAAATTTTGGAAGGCATTATGCAATTTATCAGGTGAGCACCCTAAAATTCTAAAAAAAAAAAAAAAAAGACGATATGAAGCTTCAAGTATTTACTCACTCATTAGAGGGTGGAGATCTCTTTCTTTCCTGGGTGGGCATGTTCTAATGGACGGATTAGAGTGATAAGGACCCACAACGGACCTCTCCTTTACATGGTGGAGTCTTCTTTGTCTAGCTACATCTAAAATGTACATTAACATGATAAATAATAGGCATGTATTCAAGTAATCTACCCTAAACATCTAGTACTCTGTGAACCTGTTTGAACTTTAAAATGCTGCATAAACAATATCATTGTTAGAAATCTTCATGCTTTTCCTTTATTATTAGGCATTAAGTGAATGAACCTTCAGTTTTTAATGGTACATGTAGAACACTGCTGTTATTGATGTACATTACATCAGAGACCAGTCATTATGGTTTCATATGAAAATTGAACTTTGTCCTTTGCTTAAATGTCTGACTACAATGCTGCTATTTGTATGTATTGTGACCAAGTATATGATTTTGACTTCAGTCAGATTTTTAAAATTAACTGTCTTTCTTAGAAAGTGATGTCCTCAACCATGACTATATTAATTACAAAAAAAAATAATAATAAAAAAATAAATAAATAAATAAAAAAAATCTAGGAAGAAGAGTTAAGATGAGAGAATACTAGCTACCTTCCTTGAGATGCATATAAATGTGATAAGTCACAAAATGTTTTCTTCAATATTACACTGTGATGCAAAAGAGTGATCAATTCCTTCCATTCAAAAGTAAATTCTGAATTTTGAAAAATATTCAATTTCAATTTAATACACTAAAATATTTTAAATCAATAGCTTGGGAAAACTTGGATATCAAAAGTGACATGCACTTCAGTTGTTAAAGTGCATTCATCAATTTTATGCAACATTGTAAAAACACAGGTGTAAATATCTCTTATCAAGTGACTCCCACACTCTTCTGGCAATACCTTTAGCTTGTTTGATATTAAGCTTTCGAAAAAAAATCACAATTCCTTCCAAAACCTTCGACAGGTACCACATTCCCCACTGAGAGTGTTAGTCAGGTCAGAGATTTCGAGTGTCAACATTTTACAGATTTATCTTTATCTTATGAAAGAGGATGCTTCTCTACAGCGGATGTGACTGTCAATATTACAAAAAAAACTCAGATAAATGGGTATAAGACCATCCAATATTGGGGGACTCTCTGATAAAAGTAAGATGTAGAGCTCTTGAAGACTTGACATGGGTTTTGGGGTTATCTCTAACCACTGACAATAGCTAGGGTATCTATCCCTGAGAATTTTAGAAATCAAACAAAAATTTTCAAAGTGACGGAATTATCAGAATTTATTATCTAATAATGATAGAGATTTCTAAAACTCTGGATTTTGTTGTGTTTTCTGAGCATTAACTGGAAAACAGTTTTTCTAGTTATAAGCAATGTCGTTATCTACATTAAAATCATCTCTCAGACAGACATTACAAAAAGGTATACCCTTTATATAATCACAGACCCCTATTTTTATGTGTATACTAGCTTTTATATCCAATCAACGCATTGCAAACGAAATCTGGCAGACCTACCTGATAATGAGAAGACAAAACTCACAAACTCCAAATCAAATTATTATTCAACTGTCATAAAACTGTATAACATGTCAAAGTCCCTGAGTTCAATCAGTCAGTGTCACAATGGAATATGTGCAGTGTTAAAAAAATTCAACATGTTTTTAAATGGATTCCTGATCATGTTCTGTCATGAAGGCATTTAAATCTGACGTCACATAGATCAAACAGAAAAAAAAAATAATCTATCGGTTAACGGTTCCTGGGTGGTAATCGGAGCGTGAAATATCTGTTCACTTTGACAGGTCCAAAATTAATCGGTTAATTGCTGACCCACTGTGCTGATTAGATATAAAACGAAATAATCCTCGTAGAATAAAACCAAAAACGGTGTTACTACTATTCAGAACTATTTAAAAGCATTTAACAACCATTTCTATAATGTTCATAATCAAATGTTTATGTCGAGAGAAATTTCGGGTAAGTCTAGTCGTCCGTTTTCATGATGGCTTTCAATGCAAAGCCAGAACTTATAAAAAAAAATCCTTCCATTGAAATTCTCTAAACATGAACCAGGAACTACACAGTTACTTCGAACACCTAATCGATGTGGTTCTGTCATTTTCAAAAGATCAGCGAGATTGAAAATTTGTAAACATTACACCACTTACGTTTTTCAGCATGGAGAGAAGGTTGAATGAATAAAAAACGCTCCGTCTATATGTTACGGGGTATAATCTTCCTAATTAAACAACTTCAAAATAGCTTACATAGACTGTAAAGATGAAAAACATATACACAATCTATGGTTTACCTGGCCAAATTTCGATGTGGAGGCCATTTTCTTCGATCAATAGTCTACCAATCAATACACAGGTAAAAGCGGCTTTGGCAACCAATGAAAATTGAGCTCTCAATAACACAAGAACGATAAGCTGAATCAACAAAAAGATCAAAAGTTTTTTGGCCATATAACGTTAGACTTACAGTGTAGATATGTGATATGTTTGATTTGGATAAACGCTGGATTGGGTGCCAGCACAACCTATCAGATTTAAAGAAAATAACTGAGAAATATCGAGTTCAGTTTAAGATGTATGATTTTTGTAACTTCTATCGACCAGTTGTATAATAATTAAAGAAGCTCGATTCTAAATGAAATGAAAACAGTTCCGAAAGATTCTCTAGCCGAATTTATCTATAGAATTCGAATTCAAATCCTTCATTAATATGCACCATTTTTTTTTTCATTCCAGGAATCATTTGTGTTCAGTACCGAGTCTGAAATTCGGAAATTTGACGAAAGTGACCCCCAAAATTCGGAAATTTGACGAAAGCGACCCCAAAAATTAAGGATCAGTATTTTTTAATAAACATATTTTTTGGCCATTTGACTCGATGTTACCGTATATGTATTATAATGATTGTACACCCCTTTGCTTTTTTCTTTCAAAATTTTCTGTCTAATTAGCTCTAGGTGTGTGGGAACGCACTTTGAAAAAAAAACTTCAAAGTGCGTTAAATTTGGGACAAAATTAACGCAGTAGGATTTTTTTTTCAAAGTGCGTTAAGAGTGTACATTCGCATTTTTTACCATGGAGACAATTAACGTACTTTGAAAAAATATGTATAAAACAATAATTCTGCATGGACTTAGATTAAATTAGTAATAGACAGCATTATTTTGTTATAGATCTATTTCTATCGAAAAACTGATCATAAAGAATTGATCTACCCTCATCTTAAATCTGGAACAAAATTGTTTATTGAGAGAGAGAGAGCGAGAGAGCTTTTAAATTAAGGAAGAAAGGCATGATCTACCTTCATCCTACATGTAAAGTTATGACTGAATACTTAACCAGTTTCTGCAGATGAATAAATAGTCTATCTAATGCATAAATGCATACCTCATGCAAATGTTGCGACATGAAGTACAACATCGATTTTGAAGCGGCGACACATTTGAACAAAGTTTAACATTATTTAAGAAATTCGCACATCTACAAATGTTTTGTACCGTGACGGTACAATCCTTACCAACATTGGCAAGGTATTATGTTATTTTAAAAAAAGGTATGGAGAAAATTGAAATGAAAATAAAAAGAAGAACTAGAGGTACTTTGCATGAGCACTGAGCTCACAAAATGATACCCCCGCTCACATATCATGTTTATAATGCTTTGCTATGGGAGACCCGAAATAAGTGTCCGATCAATACGTAAAATAGGAGGTGCCCAATGGCACTATATGTAACAAAGATTCTGTGAAAGTCTCATTAAATTTTATTCAATGGTATAAGAGGAGTTGCGGATAAGAGATGGGTACCCTTCAATACGACAGGAAGAAAAGCAGTGTTCTATGTTTTTCTACTGGAAGCCTAGAATATGTGTCCGATCAAAAAGTAAAATAGGAGGCGCCCAATAGCACTATGTAACAAAGATTCTGTGAATGTCTCGTTTAATTTTATTCAGTGGTATAAGAGGAGTTGCGGATAAGAGATGGGTACCCCAAAGCGTAACGACGGACGGACGTATACAGACAGACGGACGGACACCCCATCACTATACACCTCCAACTTTTCAAGCAGGGAGTATAAATATATAAAAAGAAGAAAAAAGAAACATGCAGAGTCTTTTGTAATCTCTGCCATCTGGTTTTCAATGAGAGGAGCTCGATTTTTCTAGTAGTTGATCGTAGCGACGGTATACATATTGTCGTTTTATACAAATTGTCGTTGGCGACAATGTGCACTATCCTCTCTGTACATGTTGTCGTCCATCTATACATATATTGTCGCCGGCTAAAAAAGTTACACATTTATACACGTTGTCGATGGCAGTCGTAACTCGTAAATTATAAAAGAATGAAAGATGATGAGTTTTCCTAGCTTGCGAAGATGTTTCCCTATATACACTGTACGTTTTAGCACATTAAGTTGATGAACTGCTTTCTTGCAGAGAATTAAGATTAAGACGGAAGTCAACAGTAAAACCAAAAAGTTTCACTCTTCACCACAGGCTAGAATTGTTCCATCTAGGTTAAAGGCTATGTTATTATCGCGCCTCTTTTTGCCGAGAGCGATTGTCTGAAATTTTCTGGTTCTGCTTCCATTTTGTTAGCCCAGAATACAACTTTTCTTTTCAAGACAGGATCTGAATATGATATGTTATCCGCGTAATTGTACAATTTTACAATCTGAATATTTAACAAAACAGAAAAATATCATTTATGAAAATATTAAAAAGAACAGGCCAGACTAGGGATCCTTGAGGCACTCCTTTAAAAAATTCGAGAAAAAAGTGCTTTACTAATTTTGACACGTTTTCTGGAAAATGATAGGTATAAATATGTGATATACCGCAGGTGGAGAAAGACATGTATTTTAGTTTAAGTAAGATAAGATCGTGAGGGGAGGTAGTCTAAGGCCCAGGGATAAATTCATTTAGGTGGTTACAAAATATTTTTCATCCAATGCTCTTTTCCAACCCGCAGTAAGTTTTAAAGGTGTACTGCAAACCAAAACCTGATCTAAGTGCCGCTTAAAAAGGGTGAGTAATTTCCTCAAAGTAAGTTGATAACTGAGCGTAGTGCATTTTCAAAGATCTTCGCTGGTAAAAAAATCACTGGTCTTTAATTTCCATTGTCCATTCTTGTGCACAAGGACTACCGGTGCTTTTTTCAAGGAGTCTGGAAAAACAAAGGATGTCAAGGACATAACTACAAGTTTGGTAAATGGAATTGAACGTGGAGATTGGATTACGACCTGTTATGTAAGACAGAATAGTAGAAAATGTTTTACAGGCTCACCTCTGTTAGGCAACTTCAAAAGACAGACACCACATTGCAACAATACCAGGTAAAGTAGAGCGAAGAAAAGGATAACAACTCATTCTCAGGATCATAGGAGCTTCATCTGAGGACTCTCGACAGATTTCTTATCTTAGACAACTCCAACATCTTTTTAGTGTTATAATAGCTTATAATGCATCCGACATACATTCACGACTGCATATTTTATGATAAGAACTAGTGCGAGGAAATAGGTAAAATGTTTGTTTGTTTGTTTGTATATTGTTTAACGTCCCTCTCGAGAATTTTTCACTCATATGGAGACGCCACCACTTGCCGGTGGAGAGCTGCAAATTTTGTCCTACGGCTATTGAGCAGTGAGGGATCTTTTTCGTGCCAGCACCTACTGCGACACGGGACCTCGGTTTATAGGTCTCATCCGAAGGACCGGTCTCCACGTCCCACAGTGGGATTCGAACCCGCGACGTAAGGATCAACTCCTTACTCCGCGACTCTAGAGCAGACGCTCTAACCACTGCGCCACGCGGGCGACAATAGGTAAAATGAAATATGGAGAAAACGAATAATAATCAAACTCAAAAGTCCATTGAAACAATACATATGAGGATGAGTCTTGGATACATTTCTTTTCGAAAGAATTATGAGCGACCCTCTCACAATTTTCAAAATTGAAATTTAGAGGAAAACATTTTGTACAAAACAATGAAAAAAATATTTCACTTCTCTAAAGTACATGTATAACAATATTATACTGTATATTATTGTTTTGGATTATACTGCAACAAACATTGAATACAGTTGTACGGTACTAATCTATAAACACATGTCTGTGTACACGAATGAAATAACAAGGACTTTTGATAAGAGACAAAAATTGTTCTGAAACAAAGGAGAATCTAAATGCATGGCGACCTTCAGTTCAGTAGTTATTTTCCATTCCGTATTATATAGTGTTATACATGTACATGGCAGGGACATGGAGAAGCGGTTTCTTATCAACAATGGGAGTCCCGAACATTCTCAATTTCAAGATTTACAAAGTAAACTGTTGGACTCACACACAAGTTCATGGCACAGGAATCCATCATTAACGAGCTGAAGTCAGAAGCTCTTATAGCAAAAAAAAAAAAAAAACGGTAACCAATCCAGAGCCATACATGACCTTGAGGCCAAAGTAAGAGCACAGGAGACCTTCATTCAGGACCTTACAATAAAATCTCGGACCCAGTCATCGACTTTAGCAGATCTCACTTTAAAATTACTCAGAGAAAGTAACAAAAACGACGACAATGCTTTGTTAATTCAATCCCTGTCTTCTAAATATCAATCAATGGCGACGACGAAATCAGGTTACCCTTTTTTTTTCTTTATCATTATGACTTTCTATTTCTATAACTACAACCTGGCGTTCCAGTTTACCAGTTTATCAACTAAAAACTTTTTTAAAATATCGAATCATAGTCATTTCTTCTTGTTTTCAGGTGGTGCACTGTTTATCCGATGGGGTAGAAAGACGTGTCCTGACAACACGACGGATCTTGTATACTCAGGTAAAAGGACAAGGTTTGGTGACATCTGAATTTGGCCCCTTATTGGATGTAAAAATCAAACCTACCTACCTACCTACTTAGTCAATGTTGCACCCGGAGGCACATAGGGCAAGGACTAGGGACTTCCATTCTTCTCTGTTCTTGGCTATCTTCTCCACCTCTCCCCAGGTTAGGTTCTTGTCCTTCAGTTCTTTTTTTTCCACTGTTCGCCTCCATGTTGTTTTTGGTCGGCCTTTCCTCCTTTTCCCTTCTGGGGTCCATCTTATTGCCACTCTGGTGATATAATTTGTTGGCTTTCTCAAGACATGGCCTATCCATCTCCACCTGTATTTTCTTAGTAAAGTTTTCATATCCGCTGTTTTCGTTGTTTCATATTAATTTTTGTTGGTAATTTTTGCTGGCCAAAATATCCTCAAGATTTCTCTGAGGCACCCATTATGGAAACTTGATAGTTTGTTTATGTCACTTTCTGTCATCCTCCATGCAGCATTCAGCACCATACATTAAGACAGATAGTATACACAGCTATTATACAGCTTGATCTTAGTGTGTCTGCTGATGCTGTTTGACTTCCATGTATCTTAAGCTTGACAAAGGATCCTCTGGCTTTGCCTAATCTTGCTATTATGTCCTTGTCAGCACCGCCATCTGATGTCACTACACTTCCCAGGTATGTAAAATATGATGTGTTTTTAATATCTCTTCCATTCAGTTGTATTTTGGGTGGGCTTTTTGTATTTAGGGACATTACTTCCGTTTTCTTTACGTTGATGTTTAAACCAATTTTGCTGGCATTTATTTGTAAATAAGATGTTTTTCTTTGCATTTGTGTTTCAAGATGAGATAGTAAAGCCAGGTAATCTGCATAATCTAAGTCATCTAGCTTGCTAAAAAGAGTCCACCTGATGCCCGTGTTGTCGTCACTGAGGGTTGATCTCATTACCCAGTCTACTGCTATGATGAATAATAGGGCTGAAATCACACATCCTTGTCTTACTCCTGATTTCACAAGAAAGCTTGTGTTTGAAGCGCTACCAATAGAGCATTTAAATTCTGTATAGAATGCCTTTATCAAATGCCTTATCAAAACACAGTTAAAATTGTGATAGTTTGTAGTTAAGAACTTTAAATGCTGCTTGTTTGAAAACCAGCAATAAATTTGATTCAAAGAGTACTGGGAGGCCACAAGAGGGTGCCGAAGTTGGACATTTTTCCAGAACTTCATCAATTCTGATGGAATTTTATCAAATTTGAGATACTTTTCACTTTGGGGAATAAAGAGCACAAGCTTGCTTTTCTGAGATTTCTAAACAAAAGAAGCATCTGTTACCTATGGTGTCCGGATAGGGCCATTTGCAAAAGTTCAACAGCGCGTTCAGAAAAACACGCCGTCGCGCTAACACACAACACGCCATCACGCTAACACAATTATACAAAACACGTCATCGCGCTTATACACAACACGCCGTCGCGCTAACGCGCTTACAAACAACACGCTATTGCGCTAACACAACTTTACACAACACACTGTCGCGTTGTCACACAGCTCGCTAACACAACTTTGTGATAGCGCTACGGCGAGTTGTGTGTTAGCGCGACGGCTTGTTGTGTGTTAGCGCGACGGTGTGTTGTGCGAACTTGTGTTATCGTGACGGCGTGTTGTTCGATGATGTGTTAGCGTGACGGCGTGTTGTGTGTTAGCGCGACGGCGTGTTTTTCTGAACGCGCTGCTGAGCTTTTGCAAATGGCCCTATCCGGACACCATAGTTACCAGTGCTTGAAATATATAAATTTGGCAGATAGGCAAGCTTGTGCTCTGAGAATTCTGAAACAAAATGTGCTATAAAATTGATGTAAATTTGTATAAAAATGAGAAAATTCAGAAATTGACCTTCGTATGACCTTTGTGTACCCCATAACTTAGAATCAATACTCATGCATTTTGTAAGTGGGATGACAACAGGTTTGTAATGATAGATATTGCATCGCTCCTGGAGAGACCACAAATCAGGGGCCAAAAATTTACCTCAAAATTAATGAAAGTAATCGAATATTTATAAATTCTAAAATGGCGTAAACATCAGTGTAGCCATGTATTTTTTATGATGTTTAATGCAAAAATCATTGAGAACAATTTTAAGAATATCGTATGGTAAAAAAGGACTCATTTAAATTTTTTTTCGAAAATCATGATAATATTCTTATACTTATGTGTAGAATAAGAATGTTGGTAAATTAATTTTGCGGACGACAATGAAATATGAAAATAACGAACAATGATCAAAATCAAAAGTCCATTTTGGTGCAGAGCAAACACGAAACAGGTGGGATTAGGTGCCATAAAGGAGTAAGCACCCCCTGTCGACCGGTCACAAGATCGGATAAACGGAAAAATCATAAACAATTCAGTGTGAAAATAATGACCTAACAATTTGTATAATTTGTATGAAAACGTCAGTCAACATTCAACTTATTGATAGATTGTATAAATTGCTGACAAGGTCATTGCATTCACCATAGAATTTGCGAAATGTTAACAAGGTATGAAAACTTTCGATTTTCATCTTTTAAAGAAATCGTCGGCTCAATATCATAGGGAGTGTTTCTTAAACATCAAACTTAGTACACTGGAACCCAAAAATAAAATCTCATAATCCCTGTGGATCTTGAGGTCTCAAGGTCAAAGGTCAAAATACTCTTGGAGTAGAAGGTTGTCCGTTCAATATATTGAAAACCCTTTGCTTGACAGACATCAGACTTTGTTCACTGGTATATTCATGTGCCTTCAAAGAAGTAGATGACTGCTATTGATATAAGGTCTAAAAGAGAAAGAACTTAGTGTTTCAGTTGTCCCTGGCTAGAAGATAAAAACGAGAATATCAGCAGTCTCGTTTAAAGTCATCATTTCGTAAGTTCTATGGTCGGTACAATGACCTTGTCAGCAAAAACAATTTATCATTGAGTCAAATTCTGACTGACGTTTTTCATACTAATTGTTAGGCCTTATTTACGCACTGAATTGTCGACGGATTATTCCGTTATTTCCCGATCATGACAAGGAGCACACGGCGGGTGTGACCGGTCGGCAGGGGATGCTCACTCCTCTATGGCACTTGATCCCACCTCTGATGTTTTGGAGGTCCGTGTTTGCTCTGCTCCTATTTTGTATTGTTTAATGGACTTTTGAGCTTGAAGACTGTTCGTTATCTCCATATATTTCACCATATTTTTCATTATCATTACAAAATTTATATAAACATTATAGTTGATCATTTCAATATTGCGGCAAGGGGGCATGTATGTTTTAAAAACTTTCTCTTGTTTAAATTTAAAGTTTCCCAACTATATACGTGCATTTTGTAAAATTTGAGCCCCGTTTTTAGTCCCACCCAAGACCCTTTCTAGCCAAAGTGGCTATGAATTGAAAAGATATGAATCTACACTAACCATTTTTTAGCTCACCTGAGCCAAAGGCTCAAGTGAGCTTTTCTGATCAAAATTTGTCCGTTGTCTGTCGTCGTCGTCGTCGTTGTTGGCGTCGTCGTAAACTTTTCACATTTTCATCTTCTTCTCAAGAACCACTGGGCCAAATTCAACCAAACTTGCCACAAAGCATCCTTGGGTAAAGGGGATTCAAGTTTGTTCAAATGAAGGGCCAAGCCCTCTTTCAAGGGGAGATAATTAGGAATTCGTGAAAAAATAATGGCATCATTTAAAAATCTTCTTCTCAAGAACCACTGGGCCAGGAAAGATGAAACTTATGTGGAAGCATCCTCAGGTAGTGTAGATTCAAGTTTGTTCAAATCATGACCCCCGGGGGTAGGGTGGGGCCACAATGAGGGATCCAAGTTTTACATAGAAATATATAGGAAAATATCTTTAAAAATCTTCTTCTTAAGAACAGTAAAGCCAAGATTGGTCATATTTATGTGGAAGCATCCTCAGGTAGTGTAGATTCAAGTTTGTTCAAATCATGACCCCCGGGGGTAGGGTGGGGCCACAATGAGGGATCCAAGTTTTACATAGAAATATATAGGAAAATATCTTTAAAAATCTTCTTCTTAAGAACAGTAAAGCCAAGATTGGTCATATTTATGTGGAAGCATCCTCAGGTAGTGTAGATTCAAGTTTGTTCAAATCATGACCCCCAGGGGTAGGGTGGGGCCACAAAGGGCGATCAAAGTTTTACATAGATATATATAGGAAAATATCTTTAAAAATCTTCTTCTTAAAAACAGTAAAGCCATGATTGGTCATATTTATATGGAAGCATCCTCAGGTAGTGAAGATTCAAATTTGTTCAAATCATAACCCCCAGGGGTAGGGTGGGGCCACAATGAGGGATCCAAGTTTTACATAGAAATATATAGGAAAATATCTCTAAAATCTTCTTCTTAAAAACAGTTAAGCCATGATTGGTCATATTTATATGGAAGCATCCTCAGGTAGTGAAGATTCAAATTTGTTCAAATCATAACCCTTAGGGGTAGGGTGGGGCCACAATGAGGGATCCAAGTTTTACATAGAAATATATAGGAAAATATCTCTAAAATCTTCTTCTTAAAAACAGTAAAGCCATGATTGGTCATATTTATATGGAAGCATCCTCAGGTAGTGAAGATTCAAATTTGTTCAAATAATAACCCCCGGGGGTAGGATGGGGCCACAATGAGGGATCCAAGTTTTACATAGAAATATATAGGAAAATATCGTTAAAAATCTTCTTCTTAAGAACAGTAAAGCCATGATTGGTCATATTTATATGGAAGCATCCTCAGATAGTGAAGATTCAAGTTTGTTCAAATCATGACCCCCGGGGGTAGGTTGGGGCCACAATGGGGGATCAAAGTTTACAGAGGAATATATAGGAAAAAGTCTTTTTCATAAGAACAGAAAATCCATGATTAGTCAAATTGATATGGAGGCATTTTTGGGTAGTGTAGAATGAAATTTGTTCAAATGAGGGCCCCCGGGGGTAGGGTGGGGCCACAATGGGGGATCAAATTTTTACAAATGAATATATGGGAAAAAAATCTGCTGCTCAAGAACAACAAAGCCATATGTTATATTGATATGAAAGCATCATCAGGTAGTTTAAAATTCAACACCCCCCCTCCCTGTAAACTTTTCAATACTGTACTGATTTTTGCTTTTTTCCCTAGCCAATGTGCTCAGGTGAGCGATGTGGCCCATGGGCCTCTTGTTTGAAGTAAATATCTGATCCCTTATTGTGTCCCAGTATAAATTCCAGGGCCATGTTTTAAATAATTTGAATCATCATCTGGGGATGCCTACCTAATGATATCTATATTGTAGCTGTGTTTGTAAAAAACGATTTTCAGAGATTTTCGAATCCCCTATATATTCAAATTTAAAATTCTAACCCAACCCTTCCTAGGGGTCAGGATTTGAAGAACTTAAATATGCACTATCTGTTCTTGAGGAAAAAAACTGTAAAAAGATTCATTACCTTTTCAAGCTTTAATTCCTTATTATAACCCTACTATATCCCATAATAGGAGCAAATTTGAACCTACAAATTTTCAGGAACCTTTTATATAAGTGATCCTTTATATATGTGTCAGTAATTGCATTACGTAATTTGTAAATTGCTTTATAGTGTAAATTAAATGTTGCAATATCACTGTGATTTTTCAATTCAGGATATGCTGGTTCGTCTGATTGCACCAAAACAGGTGGACCTGCTGATTTTCTTTGCTTGGTGCCAGATCCAGACATGGTCCCAGATGTCGGAAGTGGTCAGTATATCAAGGGCGTGGAATATGACCACGGAATTGCCGGATCGAAGGTTGGACAGGACGTTCCTTGTGCAGTGTGCAGAAGCAGGTCAGAGGAAACCTCCTTAATGCTTCCAGGGAAATCATCCTGCTACCCTGGATGGAAAATTCAATACAGAGGCTACTTAGCCTCTGGGAATGAAGCATTTAAGTCTTCCGCAAATTACATCTGCTTGGATGAACATTCAGAACAATCACGAGTTGGAGATAGCTTGATGGGAGACGGGAAGCTCCTTTATACTGTAAGAATTGCCTGAGGTTCTCTGCCATGTCCGCCATATCATAACGATAGGGATGCAACCTGTGTTGTTTGTACCAAATAGCCATTCAATAATTGAATAAACATAATACAGAACTGTAGAGTGTTTGATGGTATAGATCCTTAATTTCTACATCAGTTGGTCAATAACATATATCCACTTCACAACACTGCGTATTATTTATTAATCAAGAAAAAAAATCTAGTCGATGAAATGCGCATGCGGGACCGAACGTAAATGCGTATATAAACTACAAGTGAAAATATAAGAGGAAATGATTAATCTAATGAACCATAGCGTGGTATCATAAACCAATATATTAGGTAATAGAAACGGGCTAAAAGAGAAAAGGAGACGATTGAGGGATATAAATGCAAATACAATAATTATTGCTTGAAGATGTCTACGTTCTCTCCTCGGGTTACGATATTTGGGCTACTAGATTTCTTACTATCTTGCTTAGCTCTGACTTTCTCTCGATCTCAATAAATACCAATGGCAAAGCACAAGTGGGTCAAGAACAATGGGCGAGGCTTAAGATCCCATTTGTCATACTTACCTTGCCATTGGTCATTTGCAAAATTATTTTGTTAAAAAACATTCTGATTGTACATATAAGTACTCTGAAGTAGATATTAAAAAGATGCTTGAGTTTCTGATTGACAATATCTATGAAGTTTTTGGAGACCAGGTCTTCCAACAATCTGTTGAAATTCAGCAGAACTATTTTTTTTTTATTCTTATGAAGCAGAATTTATTCAAAATCTTACACATGAGAAAAAGAAATCTCTTGCTGTGGCCTTCAACTCGACATTAAGATATATCGACGACGAATTATCAATTAACAATAGTTATTTCCATTCATATGTCGACTCGATATATCCCAGTGAACTTGAAATAAAAGATCCACAGACACATCTGACACATCTCTTTCATATTTGGATGTTTTACTAGAAAAAGACGTTATTGGTAATCTAACAACAAAGCTTTATGATAAACGTGATGACTTCAATTTTTCAATCGTCATTTTCCCTTACTTATGCAGCAATATACCCTTCTCACCTGCATATGGGGTTTATATCTCTCAGTTGACTCGATACGCAAGAACATGCTCTACGTATGAACAATTTCTAAAACGAGGTAAGTTATTGACAAGTTGATGAAATAAGAATATCAAAGTCTTATTTAAAGTCATCATTTTGTAAGTTCTATGTCGATACAATAACTTTGTCAGCAAATACAATCTATCATTAAGTCATATGCTGATTGATGTTTTTCATACTAATTGTTAAGCCATTATTTACACACTGAATCGTCAACGGATTTTTTCTTTTTTCCCCGATCATAACAAGGAGGACACGGTGGGTGTGACCGGTCGGCAGGGGATGATATCTCCTCCATGGCACCTGATCCCACCTCTGATGTTTGTGGAGGTCCGTGTTTGCTCTGCTCCCGATTTGTATTGTTTTAATGAACTTTGAGCCTGAATACTGTTCGTTATTTCCATATTTCATTCAATATCTTGTCCTTGATTAATAATTTCGATTAATGTGACTCGATTAATAATAGGCTTTATTGTTACAAATAGTACGAGGTACACGTGTATCTGTTCATTAAACACCTTTCTGCATCCTTCGCTGTCAAGCATTTTCCAGGGTAAAGTGGTAATTTAGAAAATGACCACTTCTTCATTAAACTCTTGTAACATTCATTAAATTGATTAAGAGCAATTAGTACAACTAGATACATTTTTGTTTTCTTTGATCATCAGTCGTTTCCTTCCATGTTCTTGCAATCTGAAGGAAACATTAAACAGAGTTACTTTTCTTAACATAGTAAAACTTTTTTTTCTGCCAAAATCATTTTAGATTACCACTCATAAAGCATGACTCGAAATCTCAAAGAAAACTGGGGGTCAGTGTGCATCTTACTGAGCAACGGTACAATTTACTTGACTTTTTGCACTTAAATGCAGAGAATATTGCTTGGTACAAAAAGAAGTAAGAGTCGGTATAGTCCTCTAACCTATAAACATCATGGAGGTATAGGCATGCATGTAAATTTCACGACAGTATTCCAAACAGAACTCTATATAAAGTCTACATGTGAAATCAAACACTTGACTTATTTGACTTGACTTAAGCCATGAATAGGTCCGCTCTACTTCGGTCTGTCTTTGCATGGTTTTTACAGCAACTTCACTCCACAATCTGAATCCTAGTTTTTTTTCATTCCTTTTCTACAAGTTCTTCTTCATGTTTCCTTCTGTCTTCCATGTTTCCTTCTATTTTTCATGTTTCCTTCTGTTTCCATGTTTCATTCTTACTATACCGGTTTCCGCGCTAAGGTTGTCCCGACATGGTTATCTGCTCTCGTTCTTAGCACATCCATACCTATCCATTCCTGGTTCTTTTGATGTTACTTATGTTCTTTATGTTTGATAAGTCGGTAAGTCTCTAATTCTTTCATTTTGGATCTATACTGGCCAAATATTTTCAAATCTTTCTCAATCATTTTTAGAGGAGGGTGTTGAGTTTCCAGGTTTCTGCGCCGCATAACAAAAGGTTTGATTTAAAGATCCTCAAGTTTGCCCTTTTTGAAAGTTGCTTGCTTGACTATATCTTGAAAAACCTGTTGAATATGCTAGTATAGCATGACCCACTACGTAGAATAAGCTTTCTCCTCTTAACAATAACGGGCTCTAGTTTAGGATTTCACCCCGGAAAACCGGCTCTAGTTTTTTTGGTGACATGCTACAGACTTCATTTTGACAGATTTTGATGCTTTCTCTGCCTCCCCTGTTAGCTCATTTATCCATGCTCGCTTGTCCTTTATCATACTCCTTTTCACATCTTTGTCTTTCTTATCGTACTCCATCTTTACTCTTTCCTTACTCTTTTCGATCTTACAGAGTTAAGTTTCACCCTTCTATCTTTCCCCGGCTCTCACTTCTTATCCATTTCTAAATAAATGTTCTTTCTGATCTGGTCCTAGGACAGTCATAGCACTTTCATTACGGGCAGTTTTAAAAGTTTCCAACTGACTTTCTATACCGCTGTTTGTTGTTCTGTTCCTCAAGGATGCTAAAAATATTTCTGAACTCTAACCCGAGTTTGTCTTGATTTCAAATTACTTTCCATGCTTTGGATCTAGTGCAGTTTATGATTTAAGTTTGGCCTTGACGACTACCAAAATATACTCACTTCCGTTTAAGAATAAATAACTCAAACTTGTTTTTTTTTTTTTAAATTGTTTCAAAAATCAGCAATATTTTAATATAAAATAGATTTACATTCAAAAAGGTAACCTGAATATTGTTTGGCAGGTGAAGTGGGAGAATTTGGTAAGATTTTGTCACAATGTTAAAAATGTGTGCAAAATTTTGTTAAGAATTACATAGAAAACGACACAAAGTCGCATATTTGAGCACCAAAGAAAACTTGCGGTTTATTTTTGTTTTAGGGATTTATTATTTATATCATTTCCATTCGAAATAAGTCAAAAATATATATCAATCCGTGCATCAATTTTTTTGTTTCTGTTATGTATCCCTAGGATCTTTATGTTTGAAGTAGTAGTCACTGTCAAGTAATAGTAGCAAAAAGAGAGGAGAATCGTTTCTTTTACATTCAATCCCGTGTAATCAATCTAAATAAAGTAACCTGATAAAAATAAAAAATAGTTACATGTTGCAAACGAAACACTCTTCAGTTCGATAGAGTATTAAAATATCTTGAATATATATATATTAGTTTTAGAGCTTTGTAATTAACAAAATGTGGATTTAGAAACATTATGATCTATTGGTTATGTAGTACTAAGTGAAATTTTATGTTTATTACACTTGTAAAGTTGCTGAAATTAATGGTGATCACCACATAAATCAAGCATAAATTGAAGTTGTCATTGTAGATTTCATTGATTCACTTATAGTAAGCTTAGATATTAGTCAGTGTACGTTAATGTTACCTGTAGGAATACTGATGCATTACGATGTCACTGGAATGTATACAATGTTCATCTTTATAAAGAAGTAGTTACTATTATGGCTTTATTATACCCTAAAAATTTGGGTTTTTTTTAAATAAAAGCTTTTAAAGTTGCTTAAATGTGATTGAAAATATGAAATTAAGTGATCAGCAAAGATTATTGAATAAAGGAAATATGATATCATTTATTATATTAAATTTCTATGTTAAAAGAAAAAAAGCCTCAAAATGACTTGTTTAAGGGGTTATTTTCCTTAGCAAAATAGTGTCCACGGCCGTCACTAACTTCAAGTTTTAAATATGTTGTGTAAAAAAAAAAAATTGACAAATCACATATCTTCAAGTTATATCTTTGTGGGCGACGAATGTGTCTATATTGTCTGAACGAAAATTCCATTGAAAATTGGAGTCATGTGCAAATTTTTAAGAAAATTCGAGAAAATGCATGGCGTCAAAATTGACATTTTGGAGGTCATTTCAGAAAAGACAATTTGTATGACCTGACTGCATGGAATTTGAACAATTCAGATAGCATGAGTTTTAACTTCTCACAACAATTGCATATCTTATTTTTAAAAAAAAAATTGAGACATGGCCAGATTTGTATTGAAACCATATCTTCTTTTACGTTCTTAAAGAAAAATTTGGAAAATTTGTTCTGATTTTATATGCAATCTATGTATTAGAACAGGATGGGTCGAACTAGTGGTGAAACAACGCGGATGTGGATAATTAGGTTCTCGGCTTTTTACATTCAACTTGGCTGGACGATCTACGTAAGGTGTTCCTTGAAGAAATTTGCAACTGAAAATAAATTGAGACACCTTCCCTGTGGAAATTTTCTGCACATTGACAATCGAAACAGAAATAATGCAAATCTATCGTCCCTTTTTAAAGCGGAGGTGGTATTCTAATGAACACAATGAAAAGCTCCCTGTGGGTAAGATCATAATTTGTATAACCTTAATATTCTGTCGAAATCATTCATATAACTGTTGGTTCCATTAC